AAAATTATATACCAATAAACTGAACAACCCAGAAAAAGTAAGCTCCTAGAAACTTACAATCTTCCAAGACTGAACTATGAATAGATAAGTCTGAATAGACCAATTATTATAAAAAGATTGAATTAGTAATAAAAAACCTCCTAACAAACAAAACTCCAGAAATAGCTTCACTGGTGAATTCTAACAAACTATGAAAGAAAAATTAATACTTATCCTTTTCAAACTCTTCCAAAGAACTGAAGGAGCACTTTCAAACTTATTTAAAAAGACCTTCATTACTCTGTATTAAAACCAGACAAGCACATCACAAAAAAGAGAAAATTAATGGCTAATATCCCAGATAAACATAGATATAAAAATCCTGAACAAAATATTAGCAAACCAAATTCAGTAATACATTAAAAGGATCAAATACCATGATCAAGTGGGATTTATTCTAGGGATGCAAGGATGGTTCAACATCTGCAAATCAATCAATGTGATATAACATATTAACAAAATAAAGATAAAAATGATATGATCATCCCAATAGATGCAGAAAAACACCTAAGAAAATTTAACAATCATTTATGCTAAAAAAAATCTCAACAAAATGAAAACAGAGGGAACATACCTCAACATAATAAAGGCCATATATGACTAATCCACAGCTAATATCATACTAATTGTGAGAAGCTAAAAGATCAGGAACAAAACAAGGATACTCACTATACCCACTTTTATTCAGCATAGCATTGGAAACCACAGCAATCACACAAGAAAAGTAAATAAAAGGAATTTAAAGTTGAAAGAAAGAAAACTGTCACATTTTGCAGATGATATGGTACCACATATTTAAAAAACCCTAAAGACTCCACTAAAACAGAATAAATGAATTCAGTAAAGCTGCAGGACACAAAATAAATATATATAAATATAAATATATAAAAAATATATATTTTAATATATATAAATATAAATATATTTATATATATTTATATAAATATATTATATATTTTTATATAAATATATAAAAATCTGTTGCAATAAACAAGAAAGAGAGAAATCATGAAAATAATCCCATTTACAACTGCATCAAATAGAATAAAATACCTTAGAATAAATTTAACCGAGGAGGTGGAAGACCAGTACTGAACACTATAATACATTGATTAATTGAAAAAAATATAGTGGAAAAGCTTCTTATCTTGATGAAGTCCCAATAGTTCATTTTTGCTTTTGTTTCTCTTGCCTTCATGGACGTCTTGCAAGAAGTTACTGTGGGCAAGTTCAAAAAGGGTGTTGCCTGTGTTCTCCTCTAGGATTTTGATGGAATCTTGTCTCACATTTAGATCTTTCATCCATTTTGAGTTTATCTTTGTGTATGGTGCAAGAGAGTGGTCTAGTTTCATTCTTCTGCATGTGGATGTCCAATTTTCCCAGCACCATTTATTGAAGAGACTGTCTTTCTTCCAGTGGATAGTCTTCCCTCCTTTGTCGAATATTAGTTGACCATAGAGTTGAGGGTCCACTTCCGGATTCTCTATTCTGTTCCATTGATCTATGTGTCTGTTTTTCTGCCAGTACCACACTGTCTTGATGACCACAGCTTTGTAGTACAACCTGAAATCTGGCATTGTGATGCCCCCAGCTATGGTTTTCTTTTTTAATATCCACTGGCTATTCAGGGTCTTTTCTGATTCCACACAAATCTTAAGATGATTTTTTTTTCCAACTCTCTGACGAAAGTCCATGGTATTTTGATAGGGATGGCATTAAACGTGTAAATTGCCCTGGGTAACATTGACATTTCCACAATATTAATTCTTCCAATCCATGAGCATGGAATATTTTTCCATCTCTTAGTATCTTCCTCAATTTATTTCAGAAGTGTTCTGTAAACTCTTTGGTTAGGTTACCAAACTTACCTCTTTGGTTAGGTTTATTCCTAGGTATCTTATGCTTTTGGGTGCAATTGTAAATGGGATTGATTCCTTAATTTTTCTTTCTTCAGTCTCATTGTTAGTGTAGAGAAATGTCACTGATTTCTGCTGATTAAAGTCTTAAAGAGAACCCCCCCCAGAAGCAGTTCCTAGAACAAAACCACAGCAAAACAAATATTCATAAGAAAGATAATCATTCAGAACACTGGAAATAGTAAGATAAAATGGAAACAATGAATACATAATGGCAATCCCTTCAATGAAATCCTATTCATTTGCTTCAAGGAGGAGGATAAAAAATTGTACTTTCATGGGAGGATAATATATCACGTAAGGGGAAAAGATGAAAAACATTCTATATAATATACTTTTTTGTGAAAATATGTAAGAAAAATGGCAGAATATACTCCAATGTGTTGACAGTATTTGTCTTTCAAGAGTGACATATAGGAGATTCACACATTCTATAATTTGTTATGTTGATAAGATTTGAATTCTATACAATGCACCTGTATCATTTTTTCAATTACTTCTTCACATGTTGGGGGTTAGAAATCTGTGAAGAATTACCTGAAGAACTGACTGCCCCAAGACCTTTTTCCTCTTGCTCTCCAAATATTTGGGTAATATTTTGAAATACTAACTATAAGTTTGCACCTAAGTACAATCTTAGTATCCCCCATTCAGCTTTCTTTTTTTTCTTTTTGTCTCAAAAAAGAGAGAGAAATACCTGAGCCTAAAAGGACAAAGTCTAGTTCTTATCATTTGTCCTTTCTAGGTAACACAAATGAATTGAAATGATGCACAAAGAGGAAAAGGCTTCATTATATCCTGTCATCCCACCTCCTTCACCATCTCCAAGACAGATCTGGGAGAATTTTCCAGCTGAAGAAGTCCGACTCCACAGAGCCAGACAAGGAACGGGTTCACTCATGATATACTGGCCCTGAAATACTAGATGCACTCCCACTCCTGTCCCCGCAAACCTGGATGCAACACTAAGGTGGGAAAGAAAGGGTGAAGTAGTAGGAGAGCCATGAACCTAGAGGTCTAAAAATTTTAGGCAACCTATTGATGTTTGGGCTCTAAAAAAAACAATTAAACAGGGTTACTGAAAATGAAGCCATTACACTGCTTACAGATGAGATTTACAGTCACTACACTTCCTGTTCTGAAAAGCACCAAGCTGTTCTGAATGAAACACAGCAGCTTTCTTAATTCTGCCAAAACAGAGGTATCTTTCCTTTTAAATCTTTTGCCTACTTTGCATAAAATGACATGACCAAGATGGCCTGAATGTTCCTGAGCTGGACTAATGTTTAGACAGGCTCCCCCTGGCTCTTAGTCCTGATCACCCTTTTCTCTGGGCATCTGCTTTAGAAAACCTGTAATTATACTTCCTTTCTCTGTTTAAAACAGAAGTAGCTCTTTTTCCAAGCCTCTTTCCTCTTTTGTAATTCCAAACTGTCTTTCGCAAGGACCTGGGAGCCATCCTTTGAAATGTAATCCTCAAGGAAGATAGCACCCCTATTCCCAGTCTCTGTGGGAGGGCAGGAGCTAGCTTCTAACAGGCAACAACCAGCAAGCACACATGGCCTGATCGCAGGCAGAACCAGGGGAGCAAACTTCAGCAAGTTACTCAATGTGTTCTACAGGTCCACCTCCCCTCTACAGTCCTCCAGCGCACTCCCATTGTCTCACTCAGCCCTCACACACCCTCCCACCCTTTGTTTCAGCAGAACTGAGCTCGGACTGACCTCTGGCCTCTCTCTTCCCAGTTCTCAGAGCCTTGCATGGAGTCTTCCTTGCCTGTTTAACATAGTTCAGTGCAATTCTTGCTTTGGCAGACGAAAACTAAGACATGTGAGCTTCCGGCAGCACTTAACTTCCATGCTCTTTTCCTGTATTTATTGGACCGTTACTGTGTTCCGTCAGTTGAAATATTCTAATCACCTCAGAAATGGGTACAAGTAGTGTCCAGTTTCTTTTAGATGAGGAAACAAGATCGGTGAAATCAAACAATTTATTTACCTTGGGTCATTGCTGCAACCTGAACGTTCGTGTCCTCCTTGCCTCCCCAGGTTTGTATGTTGAAATCCTAGCCCCATTAGGTCATGAGGATGGAGCCCTCATGAATGCCATTAATGCCCTTATGACACAGGCCCCAGGGAGCTCCCTTGCTCCCTCCATCATGTGAAGGACACAGTGAGAAGAGGCCTGTCTGTGAATCAGAAATCAGGCTCTCACCACACATGGGACCTGTATGAAGCTTTGAGACTTCCCAGCCTCAGGAAGTTACTCAGTGTGTCCTACTGTGAGAAACACATCTTGTTTTTAAGTACCCCAGTCATGTGCTGACTGGGGCAGTCACACAGCACATACGTTCTGGACTCAGCAGGCCGAGACCCACATGTGCCTCCAGAGCCCTGCCTTTCAAGTACTTGCAACAGTCAAAATAAAATTTTGTTTATTTTGCTCTGGTTAGGGACACCTGGGGGCTCAGTCTGTTAAGGGTCTGCCTTCTGCTCAGGCTCAGATCATGATCCTGGAGTCCCAGGATGGAGCCCCACCTCCAGCTCCCTGTTCAGCGGGGAGCCAGCTTCCCCCTCTCCCTTCGCTCCCCTGGGCTTCAGGCTCTTAGCTTCTCTGTTTGGGGGTCCAGAGAAGTATCTCTTACTTCCTGTGCTTGCTTTGGTGTCTGACGCGGAGGGCACTTTCTCCTCCCTGGGAAGCCCTGGATGCATGCCCCAGAGCAGGGGGACCCGGACAGGCAGAGGACGGGAGTGTGGTCCTGTGAGGATGGAGGGCCAACACTGGGGTGTGGTGGCCCCCGACATTCGATAGTGGGGTGCAAGTCATACTCTATCTAATATGTGTGTTACATGCAGGGGGCCGGGGTGTCATTTTGGAGCGCAGCAGGGAGCGCTGTGGAGGGCTCCCGCGTATTTGGGGCTTGCGGGGTTTCGGGCTCTGCACTCAAGAATGAGGCTGGCGGGTCGGCCTCCGGGGGAGTCTGGGGAGCACCCCTGCCTCCCCGGGGAATCTGGGGAGAAGACGCCAGGCGGGGAGGCCCCACACTCACCGCTCAGGGCTCCAAACCACCAGCGCCACAGCTCCGCCCCCACCCCCACCTCTGAGGGACACGCGCCCTGGGCCCCCGCCGCAGCGCCTCCTCCCAACGCCTTCCCCAACCGCCCAGCTGAGAGTTCTCGCGAGGCTCTGGTCTCCCGCCTCGGCCCCTGCCTCGCGCAAGCGCGCACACGCCCAGCCCCAGGCCGCCCCTTCCTCCCTGCGGCCCTCGCGGCACGGTCTCCGCGCCCTCTGTGCCCCGGACCCTGTCTCAGAGCGTGAGGCCTCATTAAACTCTTCTCTCGCGCCCTGCCTGAGGCACCCAGACCCCGAGGGCCCTACCTCGTGGCCGTTCGCCCGCTTCCGGACTCTTGGCCCCTGCCCCGCGCCGAGCGACCCCATCATCCTCCGCCTGTCCGGGCTCCCTCGTCCCTCAGGGGCCTGATCACCCTCGCAGGCCGGTGGCTGGCGGCGGGAAGTGGGAGGAGATTCAGTGGCCGCTGCCCTCTGCGGTCTGTGGGGGTCAACAGATAACTGGCAGAGGTGCAGGCACAGGAGCCCGCCACCCTGCTCTGGGGCCACTCAAAGCCCCGGACGCGGGGCGACCCGTGTGTCGCTCCGCAGCCTGCGCCGCCTCCTGCCTGGGCCTGGGCGGCCTCCGCCCGTGGCTGCTCAGCGCGTGGAGACCCCTGTGCGTCCTCCGCGCGCTCCCCTGACCCGCCGCCCACTCACCGGGCCTCGCTGTGGGACCTGGGCCACGAGGTAGGGCCCTCGGGGTCCGGGTGCCTCAGGCAGGGCGCGAGAGAAAAGTTTAATGAGGCCTCACGCTCTGAGAGAGGGTACAGGGCACCCACAGATTGGTCGATGGTTGCTTCTTTGCAGGACCCCACCCCAAGACCCACCTCCACTGCAGCGTAATGGTTGGGAGCCCAGGTTCTGAATTCTATCAGAGGGCGCTTCTCTTCCCTACTGGACCAGGTATCAGGTTCCGGCCTCTCAGCGCTGGATGGATCTGGGCTCTTGAACTGTCAAGTTAAGCTTTGTCAGGAGAGGATGCTGGAATAGCTCTAAGGAGGTACAGAGAAAACTCCCTGTTCAATGTGCTATGTGGTTTTCAGGCTCTTAAAGGGTACACTGAGGATGTACCTGCTTGCTTGCTGGGTACCCCTCACCCTTCTGTGTCTCCCATGTGCAGTGAGGATAATAATTGCTGCACTATCTCTTTAGAGGTTTGCAGTAGGATTAGAGGAAGCAATGCATGGAGAGTGCTTAGTAGAGGAACTGACATATAGTTTGTTTTTTGGTTTTTTTTTTTTTTTTTTGAAGGTAAGAGGTGGTTTGGAAGGCACGGAGAGACTACCAGACTAAAGGAATTTCAAAAGGAGTCATTAACGATGTCAACTGTGAGACTAGAAGCAAGTAATAGCTTAATAAAATGAGTTCCCTCTCTCACGTTTTAAAGGTGGCCAGCCTGGTAAACAAATTTTGCAGTTACTGAAATCACCAGTGATGTATGTCATGTATGGGAGTGGAACCCATAGAAAGTTAAACCTACAAACAATAAAACACAGAATAGCTTCTGGGTATCATTTTATTACTCACAAAATCCAATTGAGAATGCAAAAACTTTGAACAAACATGTCAAAATAGAGCAGCTTCATGAACTCTTTCTGTCTTGCAACTGGACAACAGTTATCCCTACTTGTCTGCTCATCTGCCCATGAATCTTGAGAGAGATCAGATTTCTCATGTGGCTGGTGGGAGACTCCATGTGCCCAGACAAGACCTGAAAAACTGCACTCTGGCTCCTCTCTCCTTCATTTCTTCTTCTTCTTTCCTTCTTAATCATATGTGGGGAGAGAAGAGGAAAGAAAACACACTATTTTAGAGAACTGTTTTGCTTAATGTTTTTGGACTCTAAATGTCTTGGTACAAAGATTCTTTTGCAGGGCAGCCAAGGTGGCCCAGCGGTTTAGCGCCACCTTCAGCTGGGGTTGTGATCCTGGAGACCCAGGATTGAGTCCCATATCAGACTCCCTGCACCGTGCCTGCTTCTCCCTCTGCCTGTGTGTGTGTGTGTGTCTCTCTCTCTGTCATGAATAAATAAATCTTTTTTTTTTTAAAGATTCTTTTGCAAATGAATAATCCTGGTGTGAGCCTTGGAAATTACAACCCAACTTACTGCTACTTCTTCAACTTTGATAGTGATTTTAATTAGATCCTTTTTGGTATGAAATTGTGTGTGTATCCATGGGAAAGATGATTTGATACAGTCTTAATGTTCCTCTTAACCATAACTCAAGTACTGAAACATAATCGTCTTGCTCTGCAAGCTGACCCATTTGACAGCACCACCATTTCTGGATGTTTCTGTTTAAATAATCAGAATGCTCAGAAAGAAGTCCTTTTCCAACCTTGATTAATGGCACTCTTAAATTTTTAAGAAAACAAATAGCAATTTCACCAAATGTCTTTAGATTTGCATGTGCTGGATACATAGGCCACAAATGTAAATCTACAAAGGAGTGACATATGTTCTCCTTTGGGGAGCTCTTTATTATGTAAATATATTTACACCAAGATATACATACCCATAGTTATGCCCCTCTATGTATAGACAGAGTCCTAAGGTCACTGGTTGAGAGTGAATCTCATGGTACCTTTTCATTATAATCACCTTCTGTGTTCTCTGGGTTAGCAAAGTTCAGGAAAACTTGTTCCAGCGTTATCTGACTGATGGAATAATCTTCTAAATGGAATTGCTCTTTAGCTTCCTCCAAAATACCAAACACCTTTAGCAACAACAGCAATAAAAATGTGCAGTTACCACTGCATTCATTCCCACCAGTGCCCAACCCAGATGAGCCTCTCCTTGCACTTATTCCAAGTCCTGCCAAGTTAATGTTGGAGGACAAAAGGGGGAGATGAAAAAATGATTGAAAACTTAATTGAGAATCTGCAAGGAAGCAGTTCTCTGTCCCCATTCTCTTGAAGGATTCAGACTAATAATGGGATTTAAGGAACAAATCAATTAAACTCTAGGGTGTTTTTTTTTTTAAATAACATACTTGAGTTTACTCTTCTGCTCCTCTCCCATTACACATACCTGGATATCAAATATTCTCCCCATCATTAGTGCTTTTTTAACATGAAATGTTAGAAAGGAATCGTGTCTACATTTACCTTTCCCCAGCTACTGTCCTTGCTGGGAATGTAGTAGGTAAGGATCCCTTGGTTTTCCTGTTTTAATACACTACCTAAGAAATGAAAGACAAGATAGATGAATAATCTTGCAGATATTTTAAATTTACAAAATATTGCTGCATCAACAATTATTCACAATAGAGGGTGAATAGACATTGTCAATACAAAAAGGGACATGGTCAAATAACCCATCCTCTTTGGTATACATGACATGGTCAATTCCTTTTGGATTCATTACTGATGAAAGTCTTATTACTGTGGAGTTCATAGCAATTATTGAGGGCAGGCTTTCAGACACAATAAAATTGTCAGCTCACATGCCCCATGTGAAAATCCTGAGCTTTCTGAAATTCTTAATGTTACAATAAGATTATATTTCTGAAGATAGTGCTGAGAATATGAGCTGGCCAGATTTTCACTCTGGTTGTATGGTTATGTATGCATGTGCAGTGTACTTGGTGGGGGAAGAGAAAAGGACAAGGCCTCCTTGCTGTTTTTATGATTACATGAACTGTGAAAGAGGAAATCATACATACAAATTACCAAAGTCAGGCTGTGTGTTCTGGTTTTGTTTACTGGTGGATAAGAACCTACCAGTGGAATAAGAGGGAAGAGGGTGGTATCCACTTCTAATTAGAACAAACAAATGTGTTTACATTCATCAATGCACATTTGTAGGTTGTTGCAAATTGGGTTAACTGTGGTCAAAATGTTTTAAGGTAAAAAAAATACATGTTTATAAGGGTGAGCAGATTTTCTTAATGTGAATTTTAATGCATGTATTGTCTCCACGATCACATAAAGCTTTTTTGTGTGTAAAATATTTGAAACATGGAGTTTAGTAAATTATTCAAAACAAACACTGGTAAAATCATCCCATTTAAGCCAAGTCATAGGAACCCAAACACTCCCATGTCCCACTTCTCAGCCTCTCTCCTCCATAAAAAATGACCAATGCCTTCATTGTTATTGTGGACATTTCCTTTTCAGAGATGTTTTTACATATGCGTATACTTCTAAAAATCGAGGTAGAGTTTTTCTACTTAAGGTCAAACCTTTATGTGAATGGAATCTGGTATTTTCTTTTCTTTCTGCTTCCTTTACTCAATGTTTGTGAGATTCATTCATGCAGTTACATATAGCTGTAATTCATTTTATTCTCTAAATAGTAATCTAGCATATGAATATTCTACAGTTTTTTTTCCATTAGTCTATTGAGAGACATAGAAGTTGTCTTGTGAATGTTGTTAACTTAAATATTATTTTATTTATCTCCTTTTCTTTTAACTGGGTAGAATTTATTTTTTTATAAGTTTATTTTTTATTGGTGTTTAATTTGCCAACATATAGAATAACACCCAGTGCTCATCCCATCAAGTGCCCCTCTCAGTGCCCGTCACCCACAAGTATTTAAAATATAGCTGTAGGTAGAATTGTTGGACTATTGCTTTTAAAAAAGGTCCAGTTTCACCTGTGAGATATAGTGAATTAGACTGTCACTTCCACTGTTTTTTTTTTTAAGATTTTATTTATTTATTCATGAGAGACACAGAGAGAGAGAGAGGCAGAGACAGAGGCAGAGGGAGAAGCAGGCTCCATGCAGGGAGCCTGATGCAGAACTCGATCCCGAGACTCCAGGATCACACCCTGGGCCTAAGGCAGGTGCTAAACTGCTGAGCCACCCAGGGATCCCCACTCCCACTGTTACTACAAGAAAGCCAGACAAATTGCAAATTAATACAATTCTTGAACCTATCAGTTTTCTGATAGGGAAAACTCAGGGCAAATAGCTAACTCATATCTGGACATCTACAGGGAAGATCAGGACCATAGCATTTGCTTGTAAAGGCAGACACTGCCAGATGACATAAGCTGAACTGAGAAATATAATAAACTGCTAAAGATCAAGTGTGGGATAGCAAGAGAATTATGAAGCCCATTTAAAAAATCTTTAACCTCTTGGGATGTCTGGGTGGTTCAGCGGTTGAGTGTCTGCCTTTGGCTCAGGGCATGATCCCAGTTCGGGGATCAAGTCCCACATCAGGCTCCCTGTGAGGAGCCTGCTTCTCCCTCTGCCTATGTCTCTGACTCTCTCTGTGTCTCTCATGAATAAATAAAATCTTTAAAAAAAATCTTTGACCTCTCTGATTTAGGTTTTTTAGTAGTGCTCGCTTCTTATACACACTAGAGAACTGAATTTTGCTTGTGAGCCAAGATGAGATTTTTTTTTCATTTAATGAAGGACTTAATATATTTACGTATATTGAAAGGAATGTTTCATTATAGTCCTCCTATATAAATTTTCAAGTTATATGTTCATATATACAAGATAAATGCATAGATATAAATACAAATGTAAATATACAAATTATGTCTCTGTATGTATTTCACTTTGTGGTTAGTTCTTTTTTTCTGTTATATTTGTGATACAGTAGAGTATATATTTTTGTTCTGATGGTTAACTTCATTCCAACATCTTTTCCTAATACTCATAAATTGTCCCTTCTTTTTATTCAGTGCTCACCAATAGTTCCTATTCAGAAACTTCTCTAATCATTTCTCAGTCAATGTGAAATTTTGTCTACATAATCTTCAGGGAGAGCCATTGGGAACAATATCCCCTGAATACCTATTTGTTTATAACTCTTTTTGAATTTTATTCTTGAAGATCATTTTGGCTGTATATGAAAACTATGGCTTACATTTTTCTTACCATAAAATGTTTTGTCACAAAGCCTAAAATCAATCTAATTTTCTTTCCCTTATAAATTTTCCTTCTTTCCCTTGCTTTTTAAAAAAATTCTAAGATTCAAAGCATCCCCTTATATTATTAAAATACAATAGTTATATTGAAATATTCCTTGGTGTGATGATATTGAGTCAATTTTTCAAGTTGTCCTTTCAGTAAGCAGGTTTGTCTCAGGAAATTTTCTTGAGTGACAGTTTTTAGTATTCATTCTAATCTATGGCTTTGCTTTTCTCCTTTTGGATTAATTTCGTAGTTGTGTTGGATTGTCCTTTCCTCTGTGCTTTCCTCTGTACCATTTTTTTGAATGCTTATCTATGTTTCTGTTTAAAGGTTTTCTGTTTTTCTCCTTTCCAGTCTCCGTTTCCCTTGTGCTTTTTATGTGGTTTATTTACTTTTGATGGTTAAGTATTTCTGAAATGTTTAACTTAAAATACCCTCTCCAATGAGGTCAGCTGTCTTTGCACATCACCCTGTTGTTTAGCCACCAAATCTCTTTGTCCTTTCAATTGCAGTTTAGGATTTTCTTACATACCATCCATCTCCTTCTTAATTTTTTAGGCTCATGTTGAAACATTAGATAATAGTTTCATTTGCTTTGTGGCCTTATAGCTCTGCTGCTCTTTCAACGTCTGTAGGTATTTTTTTTTTAAGATTTTATTTAATTATTCATAAGAGACGAGAGAGAGAGAGAGAGAGAGAGACAGAAACACAGGCAGAGGGAGAAGCAGGCTCCTGCATACATGCAGGGAGCCTGACATGAGACTGGATCTCGGGTCTCCAGGATCACGCCCTGGGCTGAAGGCAGGGCTAAACCACTGAGCCACCGGGGCTGACCGGTATTTTCTTTTATCCTCTTTTAGTTATATTTTTCTGTGGGATTCAATTATAACATTTTCAGTGATTTATCTTTAAATGACATTAATTTTCATATAGCTTTAGGAGATTCCTATATAGAAGGTGAGATGGGAGATGAAGTCTTTCTTAGCTTTAGGGTTGCTCCTGTAGGATTCCTTCTTTGAGTCTTCTGGGATGTATCAAGTAATATGGCCTACCTAATACCTTCCTCTGGTACTTCCTCATATCTGCATCCTACACACTGTAAGTTTAAATTTGAGATCCTTTCCTCCAGAGAGGATCTCTGCTTGGTCCTGCTTGGAATCCGAGGATGCTCCTGACTATCCACTTGAGGGTCCCCCCTTTACATGGCAGTCTCAGCATGAGCTTCCAAACCCTGAAGAAGGTCCAGAGCCTCATCACTGATCTCAGTGCTACAATGGCATTTACTTCCACAATTAGCATTGTCTAACTGCTCACCATTTTCTTTTTTTGTTTTTTTCTTTTTTTTCTTGTTTTCTGCTGTTAAATTTTTTTCTCTTTTGTTTGTAAGCCAATTATTGCATTAAAGATGTATTTGTTTTAATTTTTACCAATTTCTAGTTTCATTTTTACCAGGAGTACTTTTCAGAATATATACTCTTCCATGTTGTAGAAATAGAATCATCTTTGCATTTTAAAAAAGGAACACAAGGTCACTTGAATTTCCTTGGGTTTATGTAGAATTATTTACTCTAAATATCTGATTATTGTGGTAAACCCTCTTTAAAGTATACATTCTAGATTACTTTTGCTTGCGATATATTTATTCTATTTAAAAATCAACATTTAAGTGTAGATTCCATGGCAGTTCCTTCTTGATGCTGTCATATTTGAATAGGTATTTGCTCCAGAATGATGTGAGGAAGAATGGGGCAACAACTACCTGACAGCTGAGAATGCGTCTTGAATCCACATTCCCATTAAACCTCTGTGTCCATATCCTCAAGGACAGGTCTTGGGTCAGTATTTAGTGTCCTTCCTTCAAGCAGAGCTGGGAGAGCACACAGTAAGTGAGGATTTTTGGTCATGGCTTCTCTTTGTGGTAATTTAGACACCACATGGAATAGAAGTCTGATAGAATAAGTACTCAAAAATATGTTCTGAATGAACACATTAGATGAGTATTGCACTTCTTAATGCATGCGTCATAGGGATATCACAATCACTATGACCAACACTGAGGTAATTATTTTCCCATATATCTGTTCTCCAATCTGCTCTTCCATTCATTTCTTATCTAGTTTCTGATCTCTGTTCCTACTGCGTAATCAATCATGCTATTTTCCATTGCCTGGAAGATAAATAAACTCCTTAGCCTGATACACAGTGAGAACTTCATTATATTTTGCTCAGCCTAACAAAATGAAAAGTAAGATGAAAAATCAGCATTATTAAAATCTTTGCCATGCTTCTGCTTTATGTTTAGGAAAGAGAGGTAAAAGACAGAAAGAAATAGTTGCCGTCTCTGGTATTATACACCATGTAGGCAGAGAGGTGCTTGTTGAATTTAGCTGCAGAAGCAGAACTAGTTTTGAGAGAAGAGAAAAACTTAGTGGTTCTTGTTTGCATTTCTATACCATATCCTGGCTGAGACATCAAAAGACTAGGGATACATGCTTAGGTGGAGAAGAAGCCTTAAAACTTTGCATGGGTAATATGTGAAAATAATTGAGAATTGTACTAAAAAATATAACTTTAGCAATATAATTTATATTGACAGCACAAATCCAAAGCTGCCTTAATTAAAACGATAGGAAGACTGAGAACATTTTTGTATGTATGCTTTCACTTTTGTTATACATGCCTTATTATGCTAAGAACCTACAGAAAGGAGGATTCTCAAAAGGAATTCAGTATGGAGGATCAATAAATACCAATAACCCTCAGGAAATAGTTATTGAAGACATAAAACATATGGATGGTGAAATTAAAAAAACACATGATTTAATACATCCCTATAAATGTTAGCTCAATTTAATTTACCTGGGAATGTTAGTGTGATGAAATATTTTAAATCCTCCAGTTTATTCTGTACATCGTTCTTGACCTTGACCTTCAGGATGTAAATGTTGCCAAACTTGTTTTTGAGGTGCTGAGGGCTGCCGAGGCACAGGAACTTTCCCTGCACCATGATGGCCAGCCTGGTACAGAAGGCATCACATTCCTCCATTCTAGCAAAACATGATAACATAAAAAGTTCTGTTTTGGAGGACAGTCTATAATTCAAACGGAGCCAGGATTTTGTGACTCTGTTTTCTTTCTTTTTTTTTTATTTATAAATTTATTTTTTATTGGTGTTCAATTTGCCAACATATATAGAATAACACCCAGTGCTCATCCCATCAAGTGCCCCCCTCAGTGCCTGTCACCCAGTGTGACTCTGTTTTCAATGTGAAATGGAATTTGCTAATCACAGAGATCATAGTTGGAAAGTGAAAAATTTTCAGTTAGTAGTAGAGTACAAATCCCCAACACAACATTTCCTGAAGTTCCTGCTCTTTCCCCACTCTTAATTATTTAACTCAATTGAGGATTTTTGGTCATCCCATTCATTAGGATTAAGGAGGAACTCACACACCTAAGCATATTTATTCTCATTCTCATTTATACCCACTACAATACTTGCAAATCCTCATTCAAGCCTCCAAATGAGCCACACCTGTGGGAAGTTATAATGATGGTTTTGCCACTTTCACGCGTCCGTGTCACAGCATCCCAGAGCAGGTGTCGGGCTTCAGGGTCCATGCCAGCTGATGGCTCATCCAGCAAAATGACTGAGGACTTTCCCATTAGAGCAATAGCAGTGTTCAGCCTGCGTTTGGTTCCTCCACTTTATGGTCATAGAAGGAGAGAAAATTTAGGGGAAAGAAGTTATACAAACATATCATCAAACATGTAACATGGAATTCCACAATGCTGGTTAGTTGTACTTCAATAAGTTAGCAGGCCCAGTACAGGTGTATATATCAATTGATTTTCATTTGAAATGTAGATGAGTGACTTTTATGTAACTGATTTTAGAAGTACATTGTCAGTGGCATTTATTTACTTGTGCTTAGGGTACCATAATTTCCCAAGTATATAAATCTATAATTCAAAGAGCTTAGATTACTCCTTTCTTGGGAGACAAAGAGTCTAATGGACACTAGGAAGAATAATGTAATCCCTTTTGATATTTAAAGGCTATAGTTTAAGTAGGAGCTTTAGTTTCATCTCTGCAAAGGAAAGACACGAACTATATTGATCTGCTTTATTACTATTATCTAAAACCTAACAACCCGTGATACAGTTTTACAATTAGATAAGTGTGACAGAGGGACTTAACGTGGAGTTGTGCGTATTTATTTCAAACACCAGAAACATAGGGAAGCATCTCAGCATTAACAGCAGCATCAAAAAGATCATCATAATGAAATGACTCACCTATACGTTCCAATAAGCTTGTCAGCATGAGGTTCCAGTTGCATTGAACTCAACCATCTGTTCACATACAGCTGAATCTGGGGCTCAGAAACCCCCCATGATCTGGCATACATGATCATTATTTCCCGGCCAGTCATGTATTCCAGCAATGCATCAGACTGAGGACAATAGCCAACTCTTGACTTCACCTGATAATGAGAATTGCCTTAATAAGGACTCAAGTCATCTATCCCGCTGAGCATCCCTGGATAAGATAGAAGGCCACAGTCCTCCAGGCCATGTCTCTAAGAGTCCTACCAAGGATCTTTCTTTTCTAAAGGCTACACAATGATAGCTGCTGGATCTATTGTAAAATGCTGGAATGACAGGTTCCTCAACTCGGCTTTAATGATCTTAAGAATGAAAGATTAAAATAAAATTCCAGAGTCCACAGAATTTGGAGGACTATTAGAATATGAGATTCTGCCCTCATTAATAAGAAACTCTAAAGGGTATGACCACCATGGAAATTTTTGCATTGCACAACCTGTGCAGCCGCGTGTAGATCTTGTTTCACAGTAAGGCTGAACCAGAAGCAAAGCCTTTCCCCACTCCCACAAACCGAAGAATGCAATGAGTGTTGCTTTGCCAATAACCAAACCTTTTATGGATTTGCTTTCAGATGCACATAGATGAGAGAAAAAGATAACATTATTTTATTAAAATTCATTAAAATTAAAAATAATTAAAATTATTCTAAATAATTAAAATTCATACCTTTTTCTTTGAGATTTTATTAATTAATTTACAATAATCTCAGGCCATTTACACCCCTAGTCTCTTGGCAGAAATCAAAACAAACCCTTTCTTCTATTCTAGATATAAAATTATTCTCCCATATAATTTTGAAAGTAAATGAGCTGCATACAACCGTAACTCAGTGAACAAAGAAAAAAGATACCATGAATGCCATCAGTAGAAACAATACTCACCTGAAACATAATTGAAGTGACTTCAGATATTGGGATTATCAGATCAGATACGCAAGTGATTGTGCTTATTATGTTCAAATAAATTTTAAAAACTCAAAAACGTATTCATGAGAAAAAATGAAGCTGGAGGTATCACAATTCCAGATTCCAAGCTGTACTACAAAGCTGTAGTAATCAAAATAGTATGGTACTGGCACAAATATAGACACATATATCAATGCAACAGGATAGAAAGCCCATAATTATATGGTCAGTTAATCTTTGACAAAAGAGGCAAGAATATGCAATGGGACAAAAACAGTCTCCAGTCTCTTCAACAAATGGTGTTGGGAAAACTAGGCATCCACATGTAAAAGAATGAAACTCGACTACTTCCTTTCACTATACACAAAAATAAAAAAAAATGGATTAAAGACTTAATGTGAGATGTGAAACAATAAAAATCCTAGAAGAGAACACAGGCAGTAATTCATCTGCTTTGGCCATAGAATATTTTTCTAGATATGTCTCTTGAGACAGGGGAAATAAAAGCAAAAATAAGCTATTTTGCTTTTATTTTCAAAATTGAAAGCTTCTGCACAATGAAGGAAACATCAACAAAACTAAAAGACTGCCTACTGAATGGGAGAAAATATTTGCAAATGACATATACAATAAAGATTTAGTATCCAAAATATGTAAAGAACTTATAAAACTCAACACCCCAAAACCAAATAATCCAATTTAAAAATGGGTAGAAGACATGAACAAAGAAAACGGCTAAAAGAGACATGAAAAGATGCTCAATATCACTTATTATCAGGGAAATGTAAATCAAAACTACAGTAAGATATCACCTCATACCTGTCAGGATGGCTTAAAATCAACAACACAAGAAACAACAGGTGTTGGTGAGGGTGTGGAGAAAGGAAAACCTCCTGCACTGTTGGTAGGATTGGAAACTGTTATAGTCACTCTGGGAAACAGTATGGAGGTTCCTCAAAAAATTAAAAGTAGAACTACCCTATTATTCAGTTAATTCTACTACTACTACTACAGTTATTTATAGAAAAACATTATTCAAATGGATAAATGCACCCCAATGTTCATTGTAGCATTCTTTACAATAGCCAAATTATGGAAGCAGCCCAAGTGTCCATTGATTTATGAATATATATATATATATATAAAGATTACTCAACCATAAAAAGAATGAAATCTTGCCATTTGCAAAAACATGGATGGATCTAGGGAGTATAACGCTAAGTGAAATAAGTCACAGAAAAACAAATACCATATGATTTCACTCCATTTGCAGAAGTTAAGAAACAAACAGACAAAGGGGAAAAGAAGGAGAGAGACAAACCAAGAAACAGACTCTTAACTATAGGGGACAAACTGATGATTATCAGAGGGGAGGTGGTGGAGGATGAGTGAAATAGGTGATAGAGGTGAGAAGTACACTTATCATGATGAGCACTGAGTAATGTATGGAATTGTTGAATCACTATATTGTTCACCTGAAACTAATATTATACTGTATGCTGACCATACTGGAATTAAAATTAAAAATATTTTTATGAAAAAGAAAAGTATAAAGGCACCTGGATATTTTGGGAATGAACTATATATAATGTCTAAATATTAAAAATGAGTAAGTAAGTAAATAAATAAATAAGCATATTACAAGCTTTGTGGATGCATTTGAGAGCAATTTAATGACAATGGAAGAAATTATCCTGGAGATTAGGTAATATGAAAGTATCTAGGATGCAGCACAAAAATTAAAAATGGGGAAGTGAGAAAATGAGAGATATGGATAGACTGGAACTATCTGGATAGCTGAAGTTGCAGGAGAGAAAGAAAGAACAGGAGAAATATTTGAAGAAATCATAAGTTAAAATGACCCAGAACTAATTAAAGACACCAACTGATTAATTGAGGTATGTCAACACATTCCAAGAAGGACAAAATTTTAAAATACTCAGATCTAAATATTTCATAATGAAGCATATATATAACAAAGAGAAAATTTAAAAGGTAACTACAGAGAAAAGAAATATTATCTATAAAGGAGTATCAGACTGAGCTAATTTCTCAAAAGTAGTGATGGAAACTAGATGATAGTGAAACAACAGATGAATTTGCTAAAGAAAAATAATGGCAAGCCTTAAAATTCTATACACAGTGAAAATATCTTTTTGCCAATTAGGGTAAATAAGAGGCATTTACAGGTAAAAACAAAACATGAATAAGAAAGTTTGCCTGTGAGTTTCAGATTGAGAATCTGCAACTATCATTTCTATTCCATGCTGAGGAGGTTCTAGCCATTGCAATAAGGCAAAGGAAAAAAGCATATGATTAGAAAGGAAAATAAGCCCTCGTTATCTGCAGCAGTCATGATTTAAAAGTAAAAATTCCAATATAATTTATAGATAAATATTAGAATTAAGAGAATTTGGTAATTTTGTTGATTAGAAGTTCAATATTTAAAAATCAATTGCACTCAGTGTGTCTGGGTGGCTCGGTTGGTTAAGCACTGGGCTCTTGATTTGGGCTGAGGTCATGAATCTCAGGGTCCTGGGATCCAGGCCCACATCTGGCTCTATGTTCTGTGGGGAGTCGGCTTCTGTCCCTCTCTCTCTGCCCCTCCCTCTGCTCACACACATACACTCTCTAAAATAAATAAGTAAATCATTTTTAAAAATCAGTTGCACTCAATAGACCATCAGCAAATAATAAAATATAAAATCAATTAATTTAATATGAAAACAATATGTATAGAAATAAGTTGCACAGTCTTATTGTTTCTTGATCTTATATCCAAACAAGCTGAATGCTAAGTAGTGTATTATCTCTGTAAAACTTTAAAACCATTAGTTTGAGAGATTTAATGAGACCCAATACATGGAAACATATGTTCACTATAAATATGTCAATGTTCTGGAATCCCACTTAAAATCCCAGCATTTTTATGTAAAAATAAGCTAATTCCTCAATTCATCTATAAATTAAATTTTTTAATCAAAAAATTAATTAATTAATCTGAGAGAGAGAGTGAGCATGAGCAGGGGGAGGGGCAGAGAGAGAGGGAGAGAGAAAATTCTCAAGCAGAGTCCCCACTGAGCATAGAGCCCGATACAGGGCTCTATCCTAGGATCCTGATGTCAAATCTTGGTCAAAATCAAGAGTTGGATGCTTAACTTACTGATCCACTCAGGGGGCCCCTCAGCAGAAACTTTTGAGGCTAGAAGGTGGTGGAATGATATATTTAAAGTGGAAAAAAAAAACATCATCCAAGAATTCTATACCAACAAAACTATCCTTCAAAAATAAGGAGAAATAAATTCCTCAATAAATAAAAGATGAGGGAGATTTTTACCATCAGATCCACCCTACAGTAAATGCTAAAAACAATCCTTTACATTGAAATTAAAGGATACTAGGAAGTAAATTGAAGCCATGTGAAGAGATAAAGATCTCTGATAAAGCAAAGGACAGTGGCACATATAAAAACTAGAATTATTATAATTTTGATTAATGACTTTATTATATACAGTATTGAAAAGGCAAATGCATAAAATAATATTTAATGGTACACAAAGTATAAAGATGTAATTTGTGACAACAGTGACAAAGTGTAGACATGGGAACAGAGGTGTATAGAAGTAGAGTTTTGTGCATGATTGAATTTCAGTTGCTATCAATTCAAAAGAGATTGTTACAACTTTAGGATGTTAGATGAAATCCCAATGGTAATCACAAAGAAAATATCTGTATAATATACACAAAAAGAAATAAATTGTGCCAAAACATGAAACTACCAAAAAAAAAAAATCAACTAAACACAATGTAAGGCAGTAATAGAGGAAATTAGGGACAAAAAACGTAGATAGGAGATACAGAAAACAAGAAATGGCAAAAGTCTTTCTCTATTAGTAATTACATTATTTTTTTAAAAGATTGTATTTATCTATTAGAGAGACAGAGCACAAGTTGCGGGGAGGAGCAAAAAGAGAGGGAGAAGCAGACTTCCCTGGTGAGCGGGGAGCCCAACACAGAGCTCAATCTCAGGACCTAGGATCATGACCTCAGCAGACAAAGGCAGACACCTAACTGAGTCACCCTGGTGCACCTCAATCAGTAATTACTTTAAATGTAAATGGATTTAATTCCCCAATCAAAAGGCATATATTGGCAAAATGAATTAAAAACAAACAAACAAACGTGATCCAAATATATACTATCACTTGTGTTTAAGGACACAAATAGGTTAAGAATTAAAAAGGACAGGAAAAAAATTTCATGTAAATAGTGCCTGAAAGAGCTGGATGGCTATAATATTAATCAGACAAAATAGACCTAAAGTCAATAACTATGACAAGGACAAATACAATATTATATATCAATGAAAGGATTGATTTACCATGAAGATATAACAGTTATACACATCTATGCTCCTAATATCAGAGCTCCAATGTATATAAAGAAAACAGCAATAGACTTGAAGGGAGATAAACAACTAAAAATATGAGTTGGAGACTTCAATACCCCATTTTTACTTATTTTCTTTAAATTTTATTATTGAAATGGAGTTGACATACATACAACATTAGTTTACAATATCGTGATTCAATTCTGTGTATTATGCAATGCTCACCATGATAAGTGTAGTTGCCATCTGTCACTAAACAATGTAATTAGAATATTATTGACTATATCCCCTTTTGCTGTATTTATCATCCCCATGGCTCATTTATTTTATAATTGGAAGTTTGTACCTCTTAATCCCCTTTACCTATCCCCTTCCTTCTTGGAAACTCCCAGTTCGTTCTGTGTATCTAGAATCTGTTTCTGTTTTTGTTTGTTTGCTTTTTAGAATCCACCTATAAGTAAAATCACATGGTATTTGTCTTTTTTCTGTCTGACTTATTTCACTTAGCATAATACCATCTCGGTCCACCCATGTTGTTGAAAATAGCAAGGTACCATTCTTTATTATGGCTAAGTGATATTTCATTGTATATACCACATCTTTTTTTATCCCTTCTTCTATCAGTGAACACTTAGGCTACTTCCATATCTTGGCTACTGTAAATAATTCTGCAATAAACATAGGGGTGCATATATCTTTTTGAATTAGCATTTTTCTTTTCTTTCTTTTTTTGCATTTTTATTTTCTTTGGGTAAATACATAGTAGTGAAATTTCTAGATTGTTTGATATTTATATTTTTAATTTTTTGAAGTACTTTCATACTGCCTGCTGGGAATTTTAGAATCTCTGACCCCAAGAACCATCTGGAAGAACCCATTCACCTCCTATCATCATGCTTCACTTCTTCCTCTATTTCATTTTTTTCCCTTCTAGTATAAATGTGGTCAATCTGTTTAATGTATAAAATATCTCCTGTCTCAGTCTCACAGCTTAGGGTGAATTCTAATGCTTCCCTTTGCTTCAAAGCCAACTTTATTCAAAGTTTAACCCAAATTCTTAGCTTCACCTCTGTTACTAGGATACTGTTCATCCTAGAGCATGCAGGCTCCCACAACCCCATCTTCCTGATGTCATAATGACAATGTCCTATGAATTAAAGAAGAAAGAAATGCACCATTTAGACTCCCATTACTACCACTCAACTGACCACAGTACAATAATTCTTGCTAACAGCATCAGTGAAATTCTAGTTGCTAAATCCAATATACACTATTTAGGCTTTACATCCACTTGAGATTTCCTAGAAGCTGACACCACTAACCATTTTTTTCTTCTTGAATTTTTCTTCCTACTTAGCTTTTCCCAAGGTTATGCAGTCTCTCCCAGGTTGCATGTGCACACAATGACTGGTTGGTTCAGGTATACAAAAGACAGGTACCTTGCCTTGATTTGGGACCACTCTGGAAGGCCATCCTGCTCCAGAACTTTAAGGTACATGAAGACCTCAGTTACAAGTGAATTGCATTTATAAGTGAAATGCTTCTTCTGCCCAGTCTTTCCTTCCTTACAGCACCTTGTCTGGCATATGTTAGATGTACTGTGAGACAACTTGCCTTTTACTCTAGTGGTTTCAAAGAACACAAAAGATAATCTTGTCCTAAATTCTTGTTGCCTATCTCCTCAAAAGCTTAAGTCTCTCCCCAGAACCTACTGAGTCAACAGTATCAATATCAATGTCAATGTCTATCATGATTGCCATTTATTATCTTCAACACCTGCCTGTTACCTGTACCCTCAAGGCACCAAGTTTCTCATATCTTAGATTGCAATAGTGTCTTACCTTTTGGAGGCTTTTAGTGATGCTAAAGTGCTCAATGAACACTTCCCCAGTGGTAACAGTCTCTTCTCCAGTCAAAATTTTGAAGGTAGTGGTTTTTCCAGCTCCATTGAATCCAAGCAATCCAAAGCACTCTCCCCTTTGAATTGTAACAGAGATATTTTTCACAGCCAGAACAACTGGATACTTAAAATATATCTAAAAAAATCCAGAAAACACAATGTAGCAAAGAGTATTTGAAGATCAAATAAATAAATACCTCAGACTGCTATGGCCACTATTTTAGAAAGTTTCACAAGAATTCTTCTATTTCACTGGAAAAATACATATAGATTCTGAAGAACCACAGTTAATGGACACCAATGACAAGTTCTTAGGGATAAATAAAGCCAGTACATGATGTTACCAGTGAATGATGTTACCTTTGTGAGTTCCTTAATAAGCACTGCGGAATCCAATTCCTTCTGAGGCTGCCCCACGATTCTCTGTCTTTCATTTTGTACATCTTCATTATCAGATTCTCCAGATAGTTCCTTGAACACTTTTCTCTATATTTTCAAAACAAGAATCATAAAAGTGAATGCTCTTTAGGTGTCTGGTCTACAGTGGGTGGTTTCATGAAAGCTAAACTGCGGAATAATCTCAAAGACATTAAAAAAGAATATTCTAGTCATTCCATGAAGTATTTGAATATTACCTCAGCATCATGTAGAACTTGACTAAATTTTGAATAATAAATAGTTCATTAAAAGAATGATGGTAGAGATCAAGGGGGAAGAAAAAGTCATTCGACATAGTAGAAAGTTTGTGAATTAACATGCCACAATGTGTACTTTAAATCTTTAAAAGATGGAATTTATTTTTTAAAGTTTTTAAAAAAATTCCAGTTACCATACACTGTAATATTAATTTCAGATGTACAATATAGTGATTCAATACTTCCATTCAACACTTGCTGCTCATCACAAGTGCACTCCTTAATCCCTATCACTCATCCCCCCACCTCCCCTCTGATAACCATCAGTTTGTTCTCTATAGTTCAGAGTCTGTTTCTTGATTTGTCTCTTTTTGCCCTCACACTCACACATAGGTAAAGATCTTTCCCCACCTAAGTCAGTCTATAAAGTTTAGAAGAGGTGACTGTTCCTAAATGCACAGACATATATACAAGGCTACAAGGAACACACGCAAAAAAAATCAAGGAACAACAACAAAATTTTGAACACAAAATATGACACCACTAAAGGAACACAATGAACTTCCTGTAACTTATCCCAAAGAAATGTAGATTTAAAAATTACCTGACAAAATAATTCAAAATAATTGTTTTAAAGAAGTTCAGTGAGCTATAAGAGAACACAAATAGACAATTTAATGAAATTAGGAAACAACATATGAATAAAGGAGTTCAAAAGGAGATAAAATCATAAGAAAGGGAACTAATAAATGAATTCAGTGAAGTTTCAGTTTACAAAATCAATGTTTAAAAACCCATTGCATTTCTACACACAATAATGATCTATCAGAAAGAAAAATTAAGAAAACAATCCCATTTATAATTGTGTCAGAAAGAATAAAATACTTTGGAATAAATTTAACCGTGAAGGTGAAATTCCTGTACACTGAGAACTAAAAGACAATGAAAGAAATTGAAAAAGACTTGAATAATGGAAAAAATATTATGTGCACATGGTTTGGAAAAGTTTACATTGCTAAAACCAAGAGGCTCAATCTAATCAATTAGTAGCAGAGATGCATTTGAATCATAAAAATACTGCTAATCTAAAAAAGACATGAAACGAAAAAATAAAGTATAAATGTGAAAGAAAATAAATAGCAAGTTGATAAATTTAAACCCAACCATATAACAAATTACATTAAGAATAAAGTCTAAAAAAAAGAATAGTCTAAATTCGATTAAAATATAGGGATTGTTAGATTGAATAAAAAACAAAACAAAGTGAACTATGCTATTATAAGGAACACATATCAAATATAGTAATATACAGAGGTTAAATGACAAATGACAAAAAAACATACATCATGCAAATTACATGAAAAAATTGGCAGAGTAATATCAGACAAAGTATATTACGGAACAAGGAATATCAACAGAAATTTTTTTAAAAGGCAGTTACATAATGATAAAGGGTCAATTCAAGAGGACATAAAAATATTAAGTGCAGGTGCACCTAAAATTTAGACTCTAAACAGAGAAGGCCCAACCCCCCCCCAAAAAAAAAGAAAAAAGAAAAAGAGGAGAAATAGACAAATTCATTGCCATCCATCCTTAGAGTCTTTAACACTAATCTCTTGAAAACTGGCACAACAGGTTAATGAAAAAAGAAACAGTAAAATGTAGAAAAGTTGAACAACATTATTAAACAACTTTATCTAGTTCACAGTTAAAAAACACTGCATACAATAGGAGCAGAATATGCATTCTTTCAAGTAAAGGAACATTTGCCAAGATAGGGCATGTTCTGGGCCATGAAACAAGTTTTCATAAATTTATGAAGACAGAAGAATATGTACTCCAGCAACAAATATCTGTAAAATTTTGAAATAGTTAGAAATTAAACAACACACTTTATAAATAACTTATGCACCAAGAAAGGAATCACAAAAGATATTAGGAAATGTTTTGAAGAGAATGAAAACATGGTATGTCAAAATTTATGAGATGCACCTAAAGCAGTGATAGGGAGATATTTATATCATCAAATATTTATATTAAAAAGAATAGTCTTGAAAAGGAAAAAGTCTCATTGATCCAACTTCTACTAGAAAAAAACAGAAATAAAAATAAAATAATACAAGTAAATCTCTAATAAGCAGAAAGAGATAATAATGGCATGAGCTAATACAGTGGTATTGGAAATAGAAATAATAGAAGGAAAAAAATCAATGAACCCAAAAGTGGGTTATTTAAAATATCTATAAAATTCAATAAATTTTAGCTTAACTGATCAATAAAAAAAATTACCAATGTGAAGAATGAATAATGGGACATTACCATAGATACTCTGAACCTCAGAAGACTAAGAGAGCTCCTTGCAAAGGAAAATTCCTGATATGACAGAAATATTGTATATTTCAATTATGGTGAGATTGTAATGGTTTCACAACTGTAAATATTTGTCAAAATTCAAAGATGGTAAAACTTAGATGACTAACTTTGAAATGAAAGAAATCATGTCCCAGAGAAAAAGAATATTGAAATGCATAATATGATGTATGTTGGTGAAGTTACAAAAACTTATGGGCAAAGGAGGAAAAAAAAAACATACTGCCATACAGTCAGGGAAAAAAAGGTAGGCACTCAACCACTAAGCCACTCAGGCATCCCATAAAATATAATCTTTATTCATAAACAGAAATTGAGGCAAAAACATCCATGCTATTTACTTGCAACTATAAGAACTATAAATGTTATAAGAATTCAATCATGGGAGACCTGTACTTGGAATACTATTAAACATTGATGAAAAAATTAAAGATGACACAAAAAATTGAAAAGACATTCCATGACCATTATTTGGAAGAACAAATATTGTTAAACTGTCTATAGTACCCAGAGCAATCTATGATGCTTACTGTAATTCATATCAAATAACAACAATTTTTTTTCACAGAACTAGAACAAATAATCCAAATATTTGTACAGTACCACAAAGACCCTGAGTAGTCAAAACAATCTTCAAAATAAAACAAAACTGGATATCACAGTTACAGACTTAATGTTACATTACAAAGCTTGACTACTTAAAACGATATGGTACTGGCACAAAAACAGACACATAGATTGACAGAACAAAATAGAAAACCCCAAAATAAACCCACAGTTACATGGTCAATGAATCTTCAACAAAGGAGGAAACAGGATGCTGGTGATAAATGGGCCATGGAGGAAGTGTCAACAAATATGAAAAAGCAAATCCATCCATAACTATACAGACAGTCCATCTGAACTATTCAGCCAATGGAATATTACTCAACCATAAAAAATGGAATCTTGCCATTTGCAACAATATGGATGGAGCTAGAGAGAATAATGCTAAGTATACTAAGTCAGAGAAAGATAAATACCATATGATTTCACTTATATGTGGAATTTGAGAAACAAAACAAAAAAAGAGAAAGAGACAAACCAAGAAATTTTCTCTTACCTATAGAGAAAAAACTGGTGCTTACCAGAAAGGAGGTGGGTGGGGGGAATGAGAAAAATAAGTGAAGGCAATTAAGAGTAAACTTATCATGATGAGCACTGAGTGAGGCATGGAATATTTGAGTCACTATATTGTATACCTGAAACTAATATAACACTGTTATACTGGGATTAAAATTAAAAACTTAATAAAAATAAATAAGATACAAACATATGTACAGGAAAAATGCAGTAAAATGAATTGATAGATATTCATCACTTTATCAAACAGCAATAAAATGAACAAGTACTTGGAAAAAAAAAGAATAAAATTATGGGAGATGACACTGCCATTCCCTGACCTAGCCTAAGTAAACAATTGTGTCTTGATTTATGTTGGATGCTAATGCAGTTTGGAGTGGAGAAGTTAAGGAGAAAGTTGTGCTGCTTTAAGACTGAGTATAAGAAGTCTGCTTCAATTCTGCCTTCCAAATCTCATGTGGACTTCTTTCCTTACCAACTCTAAACCAGGATAATACAGGGAAGGGGATTCCAGCAAATAAGGTTCTGGCTTAGCCAAATTGGCATCATGCCTTGGTAGATCACAGTCAAACTGATGGAAACCAAAGATAATGATAAACTTTTAAAAGCAGCCAAAAACAAAACAAAACAAAAAAAAAAAGCAATGCGATACACACAAGAGAAAACAATTTGAGTGATTGGTGTCTTTTCATTTGAATTAAAAGAAGGCAGAAGATAACCAAATGACATGGTAGAGTGCCAAGAAAAAACCCAACTATCAGCTTAGGCTTCTAAAGAAAGCAAAGTACACTCCAAGAATGAAGATAAATAAAGACATTTTCAGATAAAAGAAGACTAACATAGTCCTTCTCTAACTAAAATAAATCGTTAAATAAGTTTTCAGTGTAAAGGAAAATCATAACAGAGGGAAACTCATATGTTCAGGAAAGAATGAATAGCAACAGAGATGCTAAATACTAGGTAAGTATAAAATCATTTTCCCTATTGGTTACTTTGAAATGCATAATGTACTAAAGCAAAATATAGTGTTATTTTTCATGGTTAATAACATAATAACATACAGAGATGTAAGACATACGCCAACTATAGCATTAAAAACAGTGAGGGATAGAAATGGACATTTATGCTTTCACAATTACTACATTTCACAATATGAAATAGACTATGAAAAATCAACTATATATTTTGTAAACCCTTCATTGACTACTAAAGATAAATATAGAAGTAAAGCTAGAGTAAATTGAAAAATTAAAATAGAGTTCCAGAGGTGCCTGGGTGGCTCAATTCATTAAGCTTCTGCCTTGGGCTCAGGTCAAGATTCCAGGGTCCTGGGATCAAGACCCAGTCAGGCTCCTGCTCAGCAGGGAGTCTGCTTCTCCTTCTGCTTTTCCCTCTCATTCATCTTGCTTTTTTTCTCTCTCTCTTCCTCTCAAATAAATGAATAAAATATTTTAAAAAATGAAATAGAATTCCAAATATATTCAATTAATCCAAATTAAGGCAGAAATGGGAAAGCGTGAGACAAAAACGTGAAGGGGCAAACAGAAGACAAATAATATATGTGGTCGATAGAAATACAAATTTATCAATGAAGGACTAACTGCTCAAATTGAAAAGTCAGAGATTATTAGAATAGACAAAAAGTTAGGACCCAATCACATGCTGTTTACAGCAAGCCACGTTAAATGTAAAGACAGAATTTTGAAAATAAATGTATGTGAAATGACATACCATGAAATAGTACATACAAGAGTGAAGATGCCACATTAATTTCACAGGAAATAGACTTTAAGACAAAGAATATTAGCAGAGATATATGTCATTACCAGCAATACTCTGATTCAATTAATCAGAAAGACATGTAATAATATTTATTAGCTTAGTGATATTCAAAATGTATTTTTAAAATATGACAGAATTAAAGGGAGAAATAAACCTACAACCAGGATTGGAGATTTTACACTCTTTTCTCAGCAATTGAAAGATAAATCTAACAAAAATATCAGTTAGAAACTAGGTAATATAAACAATCCAATCAACCATCATAACCTAGTTGATATTTATAGAACATTACAACTAACATGCAAAATACACATTTATTTCACATAAACACATCACCAAGATTGATCATATGCTGAGCCATATAGCAATTATCAATTAATTTAAAAGGATTTACTATAGAGTATGTTTTTTTGATCACAAAGGAATTAAACTAGAAATCAATAACAATATATCTAGAAACTTCCCAAATATTTTGAAATTTATTTATAGACTTTTAAGTAATCCATACATCAAAAAAAGAAATCATATAGGAAATTTTAAAAATTCTTAAACATTTGAATAATAGTGAAAATATAAGACATCAAATTTTTTTCAGGGTACAGCTAGAGAACTATTCACAGGGAAGTATTTTGCTTTCAATGTTTATATTATTAAAGAAGAAAGACCTAAAACCTGTAGTTATAGTCTTTCCATAAAGAAACTAGGAGGAAAGTAACCCAAAAGCAAGTAGCAGGAAGAACAAATTTTAAATAAAGACCAAAAATATCAGTGAAAGAGAGAACAGCCAACAAGAAATGAAATTAGTAAACACAAAATTTGGTTCCTTGAAATAATTAATAAAAACAAATGCAGTTTATTGAAGGTAAATTAAACTCGATAAATTTTATTTTAAAAAATATATATCTGGGGCACCTGGGTGGCTCACTTAGTTGAGCAGCCAACAGTTTCAGCTCAGGTCATGATCTCAGGGTCCTGGGATTGAGCCAGGCCCATGTCAGGCTCCATGCTCTGCACTCAGCAGGGAGTGTGCTTCACTCTTCCTCTGCTCCCTCCCCACCTCATTCTTTCTCTTTCTAAAATAAATAAATAAATCTTTAAAAAATCATATATATATATGATATTTCTGTGAACCCTAGATTTTTCTTTTACCAGTACCTAAGATAGTCATATATAGATAAATGCTTTTCAGGCTTAATGTTCCATTTGCTTGGAGTTTTTTTTTTATTTTTTTTAAGATTTTATTTAGTTATTTACTTGAGAGAGAGTGTGAGTGAGAGCGAGCAAGTGAGGAGAGGAGCAAGAGCCACCCAGGTACCACCCTCTACCCTTCCCACCTTCTTAAAAAGATTTTGTTTGGAATCATCCTTTTTTTTTTTTGCATCTAGTATTAGAATTTTTATTGATAAGTCATGACATTTTTATTTCTGATTTACACTTTGTCTAAATTATAAAATAGTCATAAAAAGCAATGATAATAGAAACTAGAAAACAAACAGGTTTTTTTTAGAAGTAGATGTGCATTAGGTTCTCAGAATGAGTATAATTTTTTTAATAAATTAATTTTTTATTGGTGTTCAATTTACCAACATACAGAATAACACCCAGTGCTCATCCCGTCAAGTGTCCCCCTCAGTGCCCATCACCCATTCACCCCCACCCCCCGCCCTCCTCCCCTTCCACCACCCCTAGTTCATTTCCCAGAGTTAGGAGTCTTTATGTTCTGTCTCCCTTTCTGACATTTCCCACACATTTCTTCTCCCTTCCCTTATATTCCCTTTCACTATTATTCATATTCCCCAAATGAATGAGAACATACACTGTTTGTCCTTCTCCGATTGACTTACTTCAAGAATGAGTATAATTGATAATAAAATCTTAAGGCTCATGCTTAATTACTCACCTTCTTGAATGTCTTATAGATACCAAAGTAAACATATTGATTGAAAAATGTTCTTAGCTTCCACAAGGTAGTGTCCAAAAAGAAAAGGAAGAGAAGGTAAATAAAGCCTATGATACTCATTATAATCATGTACTTTCCAATCATTTTCTCTTCCAAAGAATAAACATTCTTTGCAATATCTGAGAATGGCAGAGTGAGAGAAAGAGAAGGAGATTAAGAGAGAGAGAAAGAGAGAGATCTTAATATAGAACACTGACACCATGAACAAGGCCTAAGAAAACAATAAATAAGAAATAAAGGGGGGAATGAAGTATTAGGCTAAGTTGAGAAAAGTAAACTATTTGAAGTGTGAAAAGTGATTATCCTACTACACAAATATCATTTCAACAATGAATTTTGAAAGCTAATTTCATGATTATAATATATAGTAATCAAGTAAGCATATTAATATTAATATATTTATTGATATGGCTATTAACTATTGCATATTATGAAAAATCTGCCCCAAATACTTTTAGAAGTGTGAAATCTTAAATTGATAATTAGAAGAAAATATTAAAGTGCAAATACTCTTGCAAAAGATAACACTTTGCTTTTAAAAGGTAAAAATGACCATTAGTGATACTTCTTGAACTTTCTTGAGAAGTTGAGTGAAAAAGTATAGAATTTTGTTATAAGATAATTATATACTTTTCTTCCTTTTAAAAATTTATCTTTTGAGTGGTTTTAAATTTACAGAAAAATTACAGACACTATAGAGAATTCCAAATATTCTGCATGTGCTCCTTAATTATTAACAGCATACATTGATATGGCACATGTTATAATAATGAATAAATATTATTTTTTAAAAAAATATTTTATTTATTTATTCATGAGAGACACACACAGAGAGAGGCAGAGATATAAGCAGAGGGAGAAGCAGGCTCTCTGTGGGGAGGTGGGGAGGGTGAGGAGAGGAACCTGATTAGGGACTTAATCCAAGGACCCCGAGATCATGACCTGAGCCAAAGGCAGATGCTTAACCACTGAGCCACCCAGGTGCCCCAATAAATATTATCATTAACAAATATCAAATATTACCATTAATTAAAGTCCCTGATTTATTCAGGTTTCCTTTTTAAAAATGTAATGTTCTTTTTTGTTTGTTTTTCTGTGAACCAGTCTAGAATCCTATATTATATGTTGTGGTTGCATTTCCTGAAGTACCTCTTAACTGTGACAGTTTCTCAGATTTTCCTTATCTTTTATAACATTGACAGTTTTGAGGAGTACTGGTCAGGTATTTTGTAGGACTTCGCTCAACTGGGATATGTCTCATGCTTTCCTCTTTTTTCTTCTTTATGATTAGACTGGGATTATGGGTTTTGAGAAGATCACAGAGATAAAGTAAGATTTTTATTTTGAAAACAACAACAACAACAAAAGGTATATGCTACCAGTGTGACTTATCACTGCTAATATTGACCTTGATCACTCGGTTGATTTCTAATTAAGTTAACTCTATGGTTTTTAAAAGATTTTTTTTCGTATTTGCTATTTTTATTTTTGTTTTCTTGACATGCTAGCTTTGTATGAATGTTGGCTATCCCTGTTGTGAATTGTGAATTTTCATGAACCATCAAAATAATTTTATGCAGTGGTGATGATGAGTTTGGGTTGATTACTTGGTTGCTTAGCTTATGAAAGGATTTCTATTGGCAGAGTGAAACATAATTCCTTTAATAAATGTCCTTCTGCTGCTGGTGGTAGTGATGTGGTAGTAATGTGGGTACAGTTTTCTGATTCCCTGATAACTTTTTGTTTTATAGTACCATTCATTATTACTATATTTTCCTTCTTTTTACATATCATTAACCTTCCAAGCGATAATTCTGTCTTCTAAGTTGTTCTTCTCAGAAGTGGTGCCTTCCCAAGATGAGAATTTTATAAGTGATGAGAGATCAACTCACAGATGCAAGAATTCAGAGAATCTAACCAAGGAAAATACAAACTTTCCAAACACCACTGAAATCCATCCTAAGGGATCCCTGGGTGGCGCAGTGGTTTGGCGCCTGTCTTTGGCCCGGGGCGCGATCCTGGAGACCCGGGATCGAATTCCACGTCGGGCTCCCGGTGCATGGAGCCTGCTTCTCCCTCTGCCTGTGTCTCTGCCTCTCTCTCTCTCTCTCTGTACTGTCATAAATAAAAATAATAATAAAAAAAAGAAATCCATCCTAATAATGAAAAGAAGACTGGATAACAATAAATGATTTAAGAACCCATCTTATGACGTTAGAAAATTAGTTGTTCAAAATGGAAAATGTGGAAGAAAAATTTAAAAACCCGAGAGATTAATAATTTAAGAAATAAACATGTGATATGAAGAATCAATAAATGTGAAAGCTTGTTTTTTGAAAAGCCTAATATGATTGATAAGCCTTTGGTAAGATTTATCAAGAAAAAAATGTAAGTGGAAAAAATTCAGAATATCATAAATGAAAATGCTAAGTTCGATAGAATTCATAGATTTTAAAAATACCAGAAGATATCATAAACAAATTTATGCCAATGATTTTGAAAATGTAGGTAGAATGAAATGATTCTACAAAACTCTATCAGTTCCTCTCCTCAAATTATTAAAGAGGACACCCAAATAGTTTTATCTTTATTAAGGAAACATGATCAATTATCTCCATGCACATTCAGTTTATTATTTAATTCTTTATGCAAAATAAGCTTCTGTAATTTGACAGAATATGTAATTCAGTAAAACAAAGAAGAAAAATCATTTGCCCATCTGAACAGGAGCGTAAGTAAAACTGAACAGTTATTTATGATTAAAAAAAAAAGTTTACTAAACACAGGATGGTGGCAGAGAAACTCCCTTAATCCAGGAAACTAAGATCCCTTTGAATCTCAGTTCTGGTTCATAAAAGCTGTGTGAAATAGGGCACATAGTTTCAGTGAAGGTGTTCTCTCTGAAGCTGGAATGAAACTAGATGTCTGCTATCACCACTTTGATTAAATCCAAACTATTTGTCCTTGACAAAGCAGTATGTAGTGTCCTTATTGGCAGCCTGCTTAAAATGTACCTATTGAAAATAAGAAATCATCTACTCACAAATTATTAAACTTAATAAAATAAATAATTTAGCAAGTTCAGTATACAAAACGATCTCTTTCAACTTTCTTTGTATCAGCAAGAAACAAAAAAATGACACTTCAAAAAGTGATACTATTTATAATAGCATCAAAAGATATGTAGGAATAAAGTTAGTAACATATCTGTAATACTTGTAAACCAATAACTACCAATTAGTATTAAATAAAAATGAAGAAGTCCTAAGTAAATAGATGGATGGCTAGAACTCAATAAGCAAAGGCATATACCAAGCCACAGAGTGTCAAAACAAAATTGTAAAGATATTAAATCTTTCAAATTTTTTTTACAGAATTAAAGCAATGTCAGTAAAATTCCTACTAGATTTGTTTTGTGTGTGTGTGTATTAAAGAAAAGGTAATCCCTAAATATATACAGAATTGCAAAATAAATGTCAAGACATAGCCAAGTTCCAATTTCAAAACTTACTACCAAAGCTAAAGTAATCAAGATGGGGGTGGTACTGAAACAAGGACATACAGATCAATTAAATACAAGTGAGAGTTCAGAAATAGACCCATACTTCTGAGGTTAACCTGTTTCAACAAGAGTGCTAAGTTAATTAAGTGGGGAAATGGAGTAGTCTGGAGTAGTCTTTTAAACAAATGGTGCTGGAATAACTGGATATCCATACACAAAAGAATCAAACTAGAACCCCGTCTCACACCATATACAGAAATCAACTTACAAGAGAATCAACAATCTAAATATAAAGGCTATGACAATAAATCTCTAGGGGGAAACATTGGGTAAATCTCTTTGACCTCTGATTAAGCAATGATTTTTCTTTGACACCTAAGCTGTACAAACAACCAAAGAAACAATGGGTAAGCTGGCCTTCATCAAAATGAAACACTACTGTGTATCAAAGGACACAAGTAAGAAAGTGAGAATACAGCCCTGGGAGAAAATATTTACAAGTCATATATCAAAGAAGGGTCTCTTTTCCAGAACACATAAAGACAAATAAACCAATTTCAAATGGGCAAAGTACTTGAATAGACATTTCTATGAAGAAGGTATACAAATGAACAATGGGTACATGAAAAGATGCTCAACATCACTGGTAACAGTAGAGAAATGCAAATTGAAACAACAATGTGATATAACTTCATACTTACTAGAAAGGCTATATAATTTAAAAAAATGGAAAATAACAATTGTTGGAGAAGATATGGAGGAACTGGAACCCTTCTACATTGCTGTGCAAAATAGTCCTTGCTTCTATGGAGACTTGATAATACCTGATTTCCATGTCACTAGATTTTACCAGAAATATTTCTCTTCCATTTTTTTCCACCTCACCTCATCTCCTAAAGTTTATTGTCATACAGTTTATAGTTCTGAACACTGAGCTTCCCTTTGAGGCCATTGACTACTCTTCTAGGTAATATCTGGCTTATTAAGTATTCCTTCTCACTCTGCCCACTCTCACCAAGATAAGATATTTTCAAAATTAGCTAATAAATGATACAATACCACCACGGGGATTTCTAAAGTTAAAATGAATGTTTACCCTTTCAACAAACCTCAGTACTGTTTGCCTTTCTCTTTACTTCTTTTCTGGCTTTTTTTTTCTGTTGTACAGCACTTTATCATTCAAATCACCACATTTATTTATTTATTTATTTATTTATTTATTTATTTATTTATTTAGCAGTTGAGTTCCTCTATATGCAGATACTGTATTAGATACTGGAGAATGGATGTCATCCATTCCTTCAAATAAATTTTGGGTGGATGAGTATGAGTGATTACCAGTAGTGGAGGTGGTGGGAGGTAACAAAAGTAAATGTAATACAAATACTTCCCCTGGAGGTTCTTTTCCAAAGATGAAATGCATTTTGCAATGAGGGAACACAAGCTGTGAATCCCAGTTCTACACCATAAACGTTGTTTGGCATAAGTCATCTTCCTCAACAGGAGTATAAAAACTGAGAACTTGAGGTTATGAAGATTTAAAATAATGTAATTACATACTATGTGGTTGATTGTTAGTAGCTCTTATATCTGACAGCTACTCTAAACTTACCTTACCTTTGCTTTTGAGGTTTTATTATATTTACAAAGTTTTTCTCCCAGTCTTACAAAATGATTTATGTACTGAAAATGTGTCTTGACTCTCTCCTTTGGAATAAGGGCTGACTTCCCACATACCTCATGCGCTAAGTCCAAGACTAATTTCTTAAGCTTAGGAACCCCACAGATACTGTGAAAATGAACAAAGGGAAGCCTCACTAAAGTGGAGTCAGGAGGACAGCAGGGGTAACTCTCACACCCTACCACTCTGTCAATGACAAGAAGTATCAATCATAGATCCAAAAGAAGAATCCTCAAAGGCAAGAATCATAAATTACAGACCCCAACAACAGTAACAAAAATGTACATTGTGTCTCCTATAAGAAATTGATGACCCCTGCATCTTGGCCAATGAGAAACAGTCATCACCCTGAACTCTTGTTTCTCTCTGATGGACTTGTTTAAACAATTCCTCTTAAATAATGTTCCTCTCTAAAATAATGTTTGTGAGACTTGCCTATGGTTTGCTGTCACTTGCTTGTTCTGTATTGCAATTCTCTGCCATTCCCCAATTCACCCATTTTTTTTTTGCTGGAAAAATTAGCAGTTTTATGTTTAAGGTTAATAATACTTACTTTCTGTACTACAGTTTAGGTAGACAGGAGGTTTATTTCCAGAGCACCATTTCTTAATCTGGTAGAAAGTAAAATAGTCATTGATACACTTCGCAAGGTTGTAATTGGGAAAGAACAGTAATGAATTAAGTATGAAGTCTCTGGTGGCTCTGGAGATCCTATGTTGAACTTCTAAAAAAGATGATAAGATTAGATTTCATTATAGGAAATGAACTACCCTGAAAAGAATAAATCCCCCAAGGATGATCCAACAAAGCTCAGGAATTAAAAAACAGATGATTATATTCAAGAACACTAATTATTTCCCAATAAGTTTGTTAACTGACATCCAGTGACATACTTTGTGTTGATAATTGTGGAGTTCTGAAAAGTCTCTTTGGTGAAGTGGGTGTGCATGTGATAAGACTTCCTGGCACCTGATAAGGAGAGGAAACCACCACTATTTTTTTTTTTTACATTTCTAATCCCAATTGATCAAGTAAGGAAATAAAGAGAAGTTGGAGATATAGCCTAGAATTCAACAGTAGAGAACAGATAGGGAAATTATGACATATTTGAGAGGAGAAAAATCTTCAAGGGAACCAGCTGATAGATAACTACTATAGAGATAGTTAACGCTCCAGAATGTATTTACTATGAACAGTTATTAGAGACTAAGTTCCTGGAGATATGCTTAATTTATGAATTGATATTTATTTTTAAATAAATAATATTTATAATATTATTATAAAATCAATTATTTTAAATATTATAATATTTATAATATTATGATAATATTTATTATCAAAATAAATTTATGAATTTTTATCATGAATTCAGTTTTTTAGAAAGAAGATAAAAGGCTAGCTTAAACAGAAACTTCATGGAAGATACTGTGGGCAAAAAGATAGCCAAGAAGTGAAACTTCAAGTGTCCAACATGGTGATTCTATTCATTGTAGATTTTAATTTTTTTAAATTTATTTATGATAGTCACAGAGAGAGAGAGGCAGAGACACAGGCAGAGGGAGAAGCAGGCTCCATGCACCGGGAGCCCGCCGTGGGATTCGATCCCGGGTCTCCAGGATCGCGCCCCGGGCCAAAGGCAGGCGCCAAACCACTGCGCCACCCAGGGATCCCTCATTGTAGATTTTAAATTGATAAAGACACAAATTGTTGATCCAAGTTAAAAAATTCAGGATATTGGCTAATTGAACAGATGCCAAGTTCCTTGCAACTTACTAACTGGAAAATTAAGGTCAACAGATGCTGTCAATAACCTTAAGTCAAAGCTACTTTTGATGCTTGCTTACCTTCAAGAACACTTGCTTTCATTTAATTGTTGGCCTCTGCCAATTCCATAATTTCCTTTCAGTTCATTATTTTTGGCACAGTATCACTCATAATGTTTGTTTTGCTCCTCAAAAGTGAAAGTCTCTTTTGACTTTCTAATTGCCAAATCTACTGGCTTCCTTTTTGTTCTCATCCTACTCCACATTACTCTTTGCAACATAATCCTCCCAAAAAAGTCTTTCAAAAACTTTCTAAAACAGTAATTTATTCCTATTCTTACTCTTAAACAACAATTACTCTCTAGTCCCCTAAATGATCATTTCATTTTAGATTAGGGCTCACAGACTCAAATGAGTCTTCCTCACAACACAAAGTATTCTTTGAACAAGTGTACAAAAATATACAAATATTTGCTTTCCATGCTTTGGGTATTCCTTTGAGAGAATGAGTGCTAAGGCATATCTGTTAACAAGTTTTTTCATCTGTTATGCAGAAGCTTAACTCTTACACACGTGAAATATTCATTCTCAAAGGAAGTTAAGGGCTATTCTTTTGTGGCCAGTGAAGGCCTAAGGGAACAAGGCAGGAGCCAGTGTTTATGGTGCAACAGAAAGGGAGGATGTGGGAAATTATTCAGGCCAGCTGAAATGCACATTGGAGGGTGAATTAACAACTGCATTTACAATGGCCATTTTAGTAACTATCTCTCCAAATCTCAAAATCAGAGAAGGAAAATGAGGAAATACACATTCAAGAATACTGTAGAAAACAGTCCTGGAAGGGAGGGAAGCTGGCTTAGATAATTATATGGACATCAGATGCATATAGAGATTTTCTTCCTGGAAAATCTTGTTAGGTTGCTCACAATCTTGTGACTTTTCATTTAATTAGGGAAAAAAAGCCACACTGCAAAGCCTTCCTTGAACAAAACTGTCAGCCTCTCCCAAGGACTCAAGGTTCCTCTCCATTCTTCCTTCTCTTCATCTCACTACAAACTGCCATAACATCAAAGGAAAACACTTTTAAAGATAATAATGGCTTCATATAGTTGAGATAGAATTTATTCTAACTTTCTGAGGACTGCTCTTCTAAAATGAAAGCTGCTTTTTTGTGTTCTCTCTGTCTGACAGGTGAGTCTCAGGAAAAATGTTCCTAAAATTCCCCATATCTGTTGCAAAACAAATTATTTAAGTCATGCCATGGAGTTACTAGAGGTGGGGATAGAGCAGAGGAAACTTGTCAAAGGACTTGTAGGTCAGGTTCAGTCCCATCAGTTCAGCATGAAGATCCCAGCTCTAACAAGGCGCCCAGAATATCATAGGCACTCAAATGTTATGAACCTATGTCAAGTACAGGATTTTCCCAAAACCTAAAACTTAATTGTCTATTAATATCCTTAGTTCACTCCTACTTATTTATTTACTGCTGATTTCTGGGGAAAGAGAAATTTTGTAAAGTCCTTACCCTTACCAAATTGCAATGTGGCATCTATGAGGGTACTGAAAATGCCTGAAAGGTAGTTGAACAGGACAAGTTTGATGTAGGCAGAAGTACTTTTAGTAAACAAGAAGCTCAGCAGATACATGAGGGGAATGGCAGACCAGCCATACAGCATGAAGATCAGCATTGTGTCCAGAAAATGGTAATCTGTGATGTAAATATCCAATTGGCAGAATTTAAATGCTCCCTGAAACACAGAGAGCATAGAGATAAAGGCAAGTAAAAAATAATACAAGCCAGAATGTTTAGAGAAGGAGATAGCAACTCCTATCACTATTTAGCATGGGCATATTCATTAATTGAATCAATTAGCCTCTAAAAAAAGCTCCAGCTTAGGAGCATAAAGGTAGGATACTCCTACCTCTACTACACCAAAGGACAGTCCAATGAGCAAACCACCACAATTCCCTTAATTTTTTTCTACCTGGAATTGTTTTTAGCTTATTTATTTTTATTAAAATTAAAAAAAATTAAGTTCAATTAGCCAACATATAGTACATATCATCTAACTGATGTATAAACTGATATCATCAGTTTCAGATATCGTGTTCAATAATTTATCAGTTGTGTATAACACCCAGTGATGGAATATTTTTTTTAATTAACAGTCAGTATACTTTCCCCTAATAATCCTAATAACTCTCACCTTTCCCAGAAAGTAGGTTATTTCTGTAGAAAGCCTATTTCTCTAAAGATTTTTTCTTATCTCTGGTTATAACTTATCTATCATACCTTTGAACTGGGTCCCCTACTCACATCACATTGACCCAAGGAACTCTGGGGCTTCCTTCTTATATTTTTCTAATTGAAATTTAAAAACAGACACTGAAGCATAAACTTAGAGGGACTTAAATTGAATGAATGATGATGGTGGAGATAAATCTGTAGTTGTTAAAGCAAATTTCTAGAAATCAGTATCTCATTAGTAAATGCAATTTCTCTACAAATGTCAGGGTTGTCTCTTTGGGCAGTTACATAATTATATAGCAGGACAACCAAGAAGCAAATAACACAGTTAAGCTAAGAATTGTTATGCAATTGTGATGTCCTTGGTTGTGATAGCAGTAGCAAAAGAAGACTGGTAGGTCTTAGTTGAATTCAATACCTATAGTTGGTTTGTTTCTGAATAAGCATACTGTAAACCTAAACTGAATAAATAGAGTGAAGTACCCAAATACAAGTCATATGATCTAACAGTCCCTGTGTTTGAATGCTTAAAATCCTTGAAAGCCACAGATCAAAACTTATTTCAAAGAAAAGTCAAATTCCTACTTGGATAAATAATATATTCTGTTCTTGGACAAGAAGACTGTGAATATGCAGATTCTATGAAAATTGATCTATAAATAAACATGCAAACAAAGTTTCAAGTAAATATTTTTTTAAAGAATATTTTTGTTTATTTGAGAGAGAGGGTGAGAGAGAGAGAGAGAGAGAGAGAGAATGAGTAGGTGTAGAGGGAGAGGGACAAGCAGACTTCCTGCTGAGCAGGGAGTCTGGTGTGGGGCTTGACCCCAGGACTCTGGGATCATGAGATCATGACCTGAGCCAAAGGCAGATGCCCAACCAACTGAGCCACTGAGGTGCCCCTATATTTGTTATTAATTTTTTTATAACATGGTGCTGCAACATTGGGTGCATAAATATTTGCAAGTGTTAGATCTTCTTGTTGGATTGTCCCCTTTACTATGATAGAGACCTTCTTCATCTCATTACAGTCTTTGGTTTAGTGTCTAGTTTTTCAGATATATGTATTGCTACTCCAGCTTTCTTTTGACATCTATTTGCATGAAAAATGTTTCTAGATCCCTTCACTTTCAATATGTAGGTGTCTTTAGGTCTAAAACAAGTCTCTTGTAGGCAGCATATAGATAGCCCTTTTTTAAAAAAAATTCATTCTGACACTCGGGGTCTTTTGATTGGAGCATTTAGTCCATTTACATTCAGAGTAATTGTTGATAGATATGTATTTTTTGCTATTTTATTATTTTCTGTTGTTTCTGGAGATTTTCTTTGGTCCTTTCTTTCCTTCACCATTTTTGGTCTTTTCTTTCCACTCAAAGCATCCTCTTTAATATTTCTGGCAGGGGTGGTTTAGTAGGCACAAACTTCTTTAGTTTCTGCTTGTCTGGGAAACTTTTTATCTTTCCTTCTATTCTGAATGATAGGCTTGCTGGATAGACTATTCTTGGCTGCAGATATTCCCCATCAGTATGTTGAATATATCATGCTACTTCCTTATGGCTTGCCATGATTATGTTGAAAGATTTACTAGCTTTATGTGTTTTTTCTTGTATGTTAAGAACTTCTTTTGTCTTTCTGCGTTTAAGATTTTTCTTTATCACTCTATTTTGCAAATTTAATTACAATATATCTTGGTATTGGAATGCTTTTGCTGATTTTGATGGGAGTTCTCTGTGCTTCCTGGATTTGGATGTCTGTTTCGTTCCCCAGATTAGGGAAATTTTCAGCTATTATTTTGTCACATAAATTTTCTACCCCCGTTTCTTTCTCTTCTTCTTCTGGGACTCCTATAATACAAACGTTTTAATGTTTGATGGAGTCACTGAGTTCCCTAAGTCTATTTTCATGTTCCATAATTCTTTCTTTCTTTTTGTTCATTTAATATTCTGTATTACTAATTCATTTCTCTGCTTCTTCTAGCCTACTGTTCATTACATCAAGCCTGTTTCCAATCCCAGTTACTGCATTCTTCATTTCTGTTGGATTATTTTTTAATACTTCTATTTGGTAAGGGTCTCCTTGATGTCTTCCATTCTTTTACAAGCCCAGCAAATATCCTTATGATTGTTGCTTTAAATTCTCCATCAGGCATGTTACTTACATCTGTTTCACTTTAATTTCTTTCTTTTTTTGAGAGAGAGAGGCAGAGACACAGGCAGAGGGAGAAGCAGACTCCATGCACCGGGAGCCCGACGTGGGATTCGATCCCGGGTCTCCAGGACCGCGCCCTGGGCCAAAGGCAGGCGCCAAACCGCTGCGCCACCCAGGGATCCCTCACTTCAATTTCTTGCTGTGGTCTCATCTTGTTTCATTTGGGATGAATTCCTCCATCTTGGCATTTTGTCTAAATCATTACCTTCTTCTTTGTGTTAGAAAAGCTTGTTGTTTCCTGCTCCTGAGAGTAAATGGCTTTATGAAGAAGAGATCATGTAGTGCCCAGAGCCTGGTGTTCAACGTCTCTGGTGTGAGCTGTGTGTGCCCTGCTGTTGTGTTTTGTGTGCACCATCCTTCAGGCCAGTTGTCTGCAGAAGCTCTCCTTGTCTGCAGTGGGTAATGTTTGGTTCTTGGTCAGAATGTGATGAGTTTTAAGTAGGTGTGCTTTAGTCTGCTTATAAATGAGACCTGATACCAGTTCCACTAGAACTGAAACCCAGCAGTAGTCTTTGATTGGGAGTTGTGGTATGGTCAGAGGTTTCTGCTGTCATCTGGGGAAGGTGCTCACTGTACTAAGACTGAGGCATGCTTGACTGAGAAGGGCAGTCCCACCAGAGCGCAGGGGCGTGGGACTTGTAAGCAAGTTAGGCAGCCTGTGGGGGCACCTCTGCCCTGCTTCCTGAAGGTGGCTGTGTGTATATGATGAGGGGCAGGGGAGTGAAATAGTGACAGCCAGCTCCTTTGTCTCCAGGAGAGGTGTCTCTGTGAATCCTGCCTCTCAGGCAAGAAGAGCAAATGATCACCCCCCCTGCTGTCTGCCTCTGGATTGTTTGCCTGCCTTCTTTCCAGGAGCAGTGTAGTGTCTTCCAGGCTCTATCCCTGTCAAGCCTGCTGATCTTTAAAACTCTAGGCTTTAGAGATGTGATATGGGCAGGGGTTTGTGCTGGTCCGCTGGGGGAGAAACCCACCATGCTGGACTGAGGCAAGCTTGACTGAGAAGGAAGGGCAGTCCCACAAGAGCCCATTGGGTGGGACTTTGTGTCAGCAAGTTAGCCAGTGGGTGTCAGCCCTGCACTGCTTCCCACAGGTGGCTCAGTGTTTTTCCTAAAAGGTGGGGAGGGAAGTGATGCCAGCCACCTCCTTCATCCCTGGAGAGGTATCTCCATGAAGGTTGCTTCTCAGGGAGGTGTTCAGGGAGGTGCTCCATGAAGAGCAAATATTGTCACCCTTGTGTGTCCCAAGCATTCTTCAGACTGCCGTTTTCACCCATTCATGTACTCCCACGTTTGCCTGCCTTCTCTCCAGGAGCAGGGCAGTGACTTCAGAGCTCTATCCTAGCCCAACCTGCAGACCTTTTAAAACTCTAGGCTGTAAGCCCGGATGGTTGCAAGAACTCACAAAAATAATCCACCCCTCCCCCTCTTGTTTTCCCAGCAATGGCATTGGAGAAATGTTCTTCTGTGCATTCCTGTGTGCTGTACTCTCTCTCACTCTTCTTTGTGACTATAGCTCCCTCCCATCCACAGTACCAGTGACCTGCCCCTACACCATGTCTCCACACTTCCACCTTCTATGATGTAGCCTCTGCTCTCCCTTTAGTTGTGGAGTTTGTTCTGTCAGTCTTCAGGTTGATTTTTTGAGTACTTCGAATTATTTGATAGTTATCTAGTTGTGTTCTTGGGAGCAGATGAGCTTAGCACCCTCCTCTCCCGCTGCCATCTTCTCTTAGAGTTGGTTTTTCTAAGGTCTCTCTCTTTGGTTTGCAAATGGCCACCTTTTGGCTGTGTCCTCAGATGAACTTTACTATGTGCATGAACACTTATGTCTTTTTGTATATTCAAATATCCTCTTCTTAAAGAGGATACCAGTCAGATTGGATTAGGTCCTACCCTAACTATTTCATTCTAACTTAGTCACCTCTTTGAAGGCCCTATCTCCAAATACAGTTATGATTTGAATCACATAATTAGAAAATAGGAATTTTCCAAGGGATATGGAAGGAAAATGAGGCCTCAAGAAAGTGTATCTAACACTTACCAGTAGTAAGCAGCAGGTAATGAAGAAGATGATGAAATCCCACAGTAGAGCAGAAAGCCAGTACACAGGGATGTAAACCCCACTCAGGAATTGGATGTGCTTTGCCTTAGTGACTTGTTCAGTCACTGTCAGGAGACAAAAGCCACTGATCAGAAGAGTCATGCCAAAATGTAGATTTAAGGCCACCTGGAGTCCATCTGACAATCTACAGAAGAAGGAACAAAAGTAGATATATCAGGAAACCAATACAGCAGAAAACATAAATTTCTATCAATAACTTTTTAATCATGTAAATGTAATCATATAGGTATCAAATTTGAGTGCATCTTAAATTAGGGGCACCTGGGTGGCTCAGTCAGTTAAGCATCTGCCTTCAGCTTAGATCATGATCTCAGGAATCCTGGGATCTAGCCCTCTGTCTGGCTGCCTGTTCAGTAGGGAGTCTGCTTCTCCCTCTCACATGACCTTCCCCCTTGCTCCTGCTCTTGCTCACTCTCACTCTCTCAAATAAATACATAATCTTTTAAAAATGTCAAATTTTAATAAAAAGAATAACATACGTTCCACTTTGTTTTTTAGGCTTAGAGTAAGGCTGAGGTTTATTGAAGACTGTTATGGAAGCATTAGAGCCAGCAACTGTCATGAAAAGAATGTTGTCTAATATTGCCAAGGCCAGAGATGGTGAATGATATGCTTGATTGTTGAAAAGAGCAGTAAGAATTATTTTATTTGTCTTCACCTCAATGGAAAATGCAACAATGCATAAGTGAATACAATCTTCATTTTCCATTAAGTATTTCAGTAGGTCACCTAAGATGAGGAAATAATGTTGGTCAGTTTATCCACAAAAGAGATAATCTACAAAGTTATGTTGGGGAAAGAAACAAATGATCTATTTGGTTCTCATCCCTTTCAATTTTCTTATAATGATTATTTCAAACGTTTGTCATTCTCCTCACGCACTCTACACTATTATTAAATTCCAAGCTCTCCCATTTCATAGCCTATGATCTGGATTCCTACTTCACTGAGAAAACACAGGCAACTTGGTATAGATTTTCTTGACTTATCTTAGATTCATAAGTACTTCCACTTACAGATTTTATTGCTTAAAGCAGAAAATTTTTCTCTGTGAAAATAAAAAAGCTGGATTTAAAAAAATCACCTCTTTGAAGGTATTAGATACCTAAAAAAAGCAATCAACATATAGGGGATAAACCCTTAGAAGGAATGGAAATGCACTGAATTGAGCCAAACATTCTATATCCTTTTTTCCTTTAAAGCATTTTAGATTTATAATTGATGGAATGCATTGGTAAATACTCAAGCCTTCAGTGGGGCTTCTAAAGGGCTATACCCTAAGAGTAAGAGTGAGTAAGATGTAGATGAGTTCTTACAAAAATTTTAACCCAATATTAAATTACTTAAATCCTCAATTAGATTTATATCTTCCCTTAATCTCATTGCCTTTCAGGAGTTAAATCTCCTCTGGAGAAGATAATCTCAAGTAAAGTATATATAATTTTCATATACAATTTTGGCATTCAATTAAAAAATCACTAGATATACTAAAAAACAGAACCAAGAAAAAGAACAGATAATAGAAACAGATCCATATATAAACTAGATATTAGAGACAGAATATTTTCCAGAGAACTGGAGTCCATAGGAAGAATCAAATACTTATGTTAGAATTGATAAAGCACATAAATTACAATCAACATATAACTCATAAATCAATGTATAACTCATGGACACAAATGAGGAAAGACTGGAAACTGGAAGACAGGTTGATTAGAAAATACCCAGCTAAAAGCACAGTAGGAAAGAGAATGGGGAACAAAGATAAAACATAAATTAGCAATATTAGAAATGATACAGGGGAAATCACTACAGATCCTGCAGCCATCAAAAGGGTAATAAAGGAATACTCTGAACAATTCTACAAACATAATTTTACAGTTTATTATTATTTTTTTGATAAATTAATTTTTACTGGTGTTCAATTTACCAACATACAGAATAACACCCAGTGCTCATCCCGTCAAGTGTCCCCCTCAGTGCCCGTCGCCCATTCACCCCCACCCCCCGCCCTCCTCCCCCTCCACCACCCCTAGTTCATTTCCCAGAGTTACAAGTGTTTATGTTCTGTCTCCCTTTCTGATATTTCCCACACATTTCTTCTCCCTTCCCTTATATTCCCTTTCACTATTATTCATATTCCCCAAATGAATGAGAACATACACTGTTTGTCCTTCTCCGATTGACTTACTTCACTCAGCATTATACCCTCCAGTTCCATCCACGTTGAAGCAAATGGTGGGTATTTGTTGTTTCTAATGGCTGAGTAATATTCCATTGTATACATAAACCACATCTTCTTTATCCATTCATCTTTCGATGGATACCGAGGCTCCTTCCACAGTTTGGCTATTGTGGACATGGCTGCTAGAAACATCAGGGTACAGGTGTCCTGGCGTTTCATTGCATCTGTATCTTTGGGGTAAATCCCTAGCAGTGCAATTGCTGGGTCATAGGGCAGGTCTATTTTTAACTCTTTGAGGAACCTCCACACAGTTTTCCAGAGTGGCTGCACCAGTTCACATTCCCACCAACAGTGTAAGAGGGTTCCCTTTTCTCCGCATCCTCTCCAACATTTGTTGTTTCCTGCCTTGTTAATGTTCCCCATTCTCACTGGTGTGAGGTGGTATCTCATTGTGGTTTTGATTTGTATTTCCCTGATGGCAAGTGATGCAGAGCATTTTCTCATGTGCATGTTGGCCATGTCTATGTCTTCCTCTGTGAGATTTCTCTTCATGTCTTTTGCTCATTTCATGATTGGGTTGTTTGTTTCTTTGGTGTTAAGTTTAAGAAGTTCTTTATAGATCTTGCATACTAGCCCTTTATCTGATACGTCATTTGCAAATATCTTCTCCCATTCTGTAGGTTGTCTTTTAGTTTTGTGGACTGTATCCTTTGCTGTGCAAAAGCTTCTTATCTTGATGAAGTCCCAATAGTTCATTTTTGCTTTTGTTTCTTTTGCTTTCATGGATGTATCTTGCAAGAAGTTACTGGGGCTGAGTTGAAAAAGGATGTTGCCTGTGTTCTACTCTAGGATTTTGATGGAATCTTGTCTCACATTTAGATCTTTCATCCATTTTGAGTTTATCTTTGTGTATGGTGAAAGAGAGTGGTCTAGTTTCATTCTTCTGCATGTGGATATCCAATTTTCCCAGCACCATTTATTGAAGAGACTGTCTTTCTTCCAATGGATAGTCTTTCCTCCTTTATCAAATATTAGTTGACCATAAAGTTCAGAGTCCACTTCTGGGTTCTCTATTCTGTGCCATTGATCTATGTGTCTGTTTTGTGCCAGTACCACACTGTCTTGATGACCACAGCTTTGTAGTACAACCTGAAATCTGGCATTGTGATGCCCCCAGATATGGTTTTCTTTTTTAAAATTCCCCTGGCTATTCGGGGTCTTTTCTGATTCCACACAAATCTTAAAATAATTTGTTATAACTCTCTGAAGAAAAGTCCATGGTATTTTGATAGGGATTGCATTAAACGTATAAATTACCCTGGGTAACATTTACATTTTCACAATATTAATTCTGCCAATCCATGAGCAAGGAATGTTTTTCCATCTCTTTGTGTCTTCCTCAATTTCTTTCAGAAGTGTTCCATAGTTTTTAGGGTATAGATCCTTTACCTCTTTGGTTAGGTTTATTCCTAGGTATCTTATGCTTTTGGGTGCAATTGTAAATGGGATTGACTCCTTAATTTCTCTTTCTTCAGTCTCATTGTTAGTGTATAGAAATGCCACTGACTTCTGGGCATTGATTTTGTATCCTGCCGCACTACCAAATTGCTGTATGAGTTCTAGCAATCTTGGGGTGGAGGCTTTTGGGTTTTCTATGTAGAGTATCATGTCATCGGTGAAGAGGGAGAGTTTGACTTCTTTGCTAATTTGAATGCCTTTAATGTCTTTTTGTTGTATGATTGCTGAGGCTAGGACTTCCAATACTATGTTGAATAGCAGTGGTGAGAGTGGACATCCCTGTCTTGTTCCTGATCTTAGGGGAAAGGCTCCCAGTGCTTCCCCATTAAGAATGATATTTGCTGTGGGCTTTTCGTAGATGGCTTTTAAGATGTTGAGGAATGTTCCCTCTATCCTTACACTCTGAAGAGTTTTGATCAGGAATGGATGCTGTATTTTGTCAAATGCTTTCTCTGCATCTAATGAGAGGATCATATGGTTCTTGGTTTTTCTCTTGCTGATATGATGAATCACATTGATTGTTTTATGAGTGTTGAACCAGCCTTGTGTCCCGGGGATAAATCCTACTTGGTCATGGTGAATAATTTTCTTAATGTGTTGTTGGATCCTATAGGCTAGTATCTTGTTGAGAATTTTTGCATCCATGTTCATCAGGGATATTGGTCTGTAATTCTCCTTTTTGGTGGGGTCTTTGTCTGGTTTTGGAATTAAGGTGATGCTGGCCTCATAGAATGAATTTGGAAGTACTCCATCTCTTTCTATCTTTCCAAACAGCTTTAGTAGAATAGGTATGATTTCTTCTTTAAATGTTTGATAGAATTCCCCTGGGAAGCCATCTGGCCCTGGACTTTTGTGTCTTGGGAGGTTTTTGATGACTGCTTCAATTTCATCCCTGGTTATTGGCCTGTTCAGGTTTTCTATTTCTTCCTGTTCCAGTTTTGGTAGTTTGTGGCTTTCCAGAAATGCGTCCATTTCTTCTAGTTTGCCTAATTTATAGGCATATAGCTGTTCATAATATGTTTTTAAAATCGTTTGTATTTCCTTGGTGTTGGTAGTGATCTCTCCTTTTTCATTCATGATTTTATTAATTTGAGTCTTCTCTCTCTCTTTTTAATAAGGTTGGCTAATGGTTTATCTATCTTCTTAATTCCTTCAAAGAACCAACTCCTGGTTTTGTTGATCTGTTCCACAGTTCTTCTGTTCTCGATTTTGTTGAGTTCTGCTCGAATCTTAATTGACTCTCTTCTTCTGCTGGGTGTAGGATCTGTCTGCTGTTTTTTCTCTAGCTCCTTTATGTGTAAGGTTAGCTTCTGTATTTGAGTTCTTTCCAGTTTTCGAATGGATGCTTGAATTTGGATGTATTTCCCCCTCAGGACTGCTTTTGCTGCATCCCAAAGATTTTGAACGGCTGTATCTTCATTCTCATTAGTTTTCATGAATCTTTTTATCTTCCTTAATTTCCTGGTTGACCCTTTCATCTTTTAGCAGGATGGTCCTTAACCTCCACGTGTTTGAGGTCTTTCCAAACTTCTTGTTGTGATTTAGTTCTAATTTCAAGGCATTATGGTCTGAGAATATGCAGGGGATGATCCCAATCTTTTGGTATCGGTTCAGACCCGATTTGTGACCCAGCATGTGGTCTATTCTGGAGAAAGTTCCATGCGCACTTGAGAAGAATGTGTATTCAGTTGAGTTTGGATGTAAAGTTCTGTAGATATCTGTGAAATCCATCTGGTCCAGTGTATCATTTAAAGCTCTGGTTTCTTTGGAGATGTTGTACTTAAAAGACCTATCAAGTATAGAAAGAGCTACATTGAAGTCACCAAGTATAAGTGTATTATTATCTAAGTATTTCTTCACTTTGGTTATTAATTGATTTAAATATTTTGGAGCTCCCACATTCGGGGCATATATATTGAGGATTGTTAAGTCCTCTTGTTGGATAGATCCTTTAAGTATGCTATAGTGTCCCTCTTCATCTCTCACTGTAGTCTTCGGGGTAAATTTTAGTTTATCTGATATGAGG